TTAACATGCGAGTTAGTTTTTCTAAACTCAGCCCTCAGGTCCGGATTTCACTGCAGCGTCATCACCGTGTGATAAGAAAATGGGTGCTGGGTTGCAGTTTGGGTGCTCGCCTCTGAAGGGCTTACATTTGGGAAGTAAATTCTTCATCAAGGACGGCAGGTGATCATGCCACACAGCACAGCTGGAAGATCCAGTGGGTGGTTGACCTATGCTCCCTTTAACCCTGGCAGTCTGTGAAGCTCTGCTCTTTGGAAGCAGCACAGGAAAACCACAGGCAACCCCAGCCTCACACTCCTGCTTGAGAGCCCCTCAGGGTGAGCTCCTCCAAACCGTACCCACATCCACATTGCTGGTGACTTTGGAGCCCGATGCAGTTCAGGGGTACTCAAGAGCTCTGCATGCACGGGGTGGGAGAAGGCTATTGTTCCAGTGTTGGATTAGTCTGAGGCCACCCCACCCTGATGCGCCTGGCCCCGTGGAGGATGCTGCCCATGCACTTGTCTTGCTTCCTTGGCTAGTAAGGCAGTAGAAAAATTTAGCCCCTCACGCCATGGAAGACAGCAGGCGAAGTCCTGTGAAAACCTATGGGATTGCTGTGCAGAAAGTTTAGCTAAAAGGATTAACCTTTAAGTTCATGAGGCTGGTCTGCCAGAATAAAGCAGAATTCTCCAGTGAACTTATCTCAAGAAAATAATAGAACAAATATGGTCAACCAAGTGACTGGGGATCTTTATGAAAACGTTTGTGTCCTATATTTTAAAAGAAAAATGGGCTAGGGATATATCTCAGTGGCACAAGTGCCTACCTGGCAGGCAAAGAGATCATGAGTTCTATCCCTAGTACTAAAAAAAGAAAACAATCAATTTTAAGTGTCCAGCAGTATAGGATCAATTAAATAGCTTCTGGCACAGTTATATCTAAAATAATTGTCTGCTTTGACAAGGAAAGATCCCTACCGCATTGGTGAAAACACGTTAAAGGGAAACAGTATGATCACATGTTTGTGGGATTATGTGTGCATACACATGCTTAAAAAGACACATACAAAACATCATCAGTCCAGCAGGACATGGTGGTAGACGCCTGTAATCCCAGAACTTGGGAGACTGGAGGATCATTACAATTTCGAGACAGCCTGGACTACAAAAGTGAGCCCAAGGCCAGCCTGAACTGAATAGCAAGACCCTGTCTCAAAAAGACAAAACAAAACAAAATATCAGTCCTAAAGGAAAACATGCGTACTAAATTGTAAATAAATTATGGTTATTCAACTGGTATTAATTAAACTTGTATTAGCTAAAAATGTAAGCAGATAAGTGAAACTACTATCTAATATAATATATTTTAATTGGAGTTATTTGTAACACCTATTATCTCTTAAAGTGGGCTGTACTTTGGTGACTTAGTTCAGGCATTTGGTTGACACAGGTGATATCATACCAGTTCTGGCATTGAGAAATTGAGATTCAGTTGGTTTGGAACACTTTTTTCCCTTTTAGGTACAAACATTTAAGTTGGATGAGAACTAGAATAACATTGATAACATGGAAAATGTAGCTGAATGGAAGTAGAGATGCCTGAATCATCCGTTAGAAGTCAGAAGAAAGTATGAAAAAAACAACAACAAAGCAAACAAAGGGCTATGGGTTAGCATAAAGCAGCAAGCAGGTTTGGAGACTTCCTCAGTCAACAGATGTTTGTTCTGAAGCCACCATGGGCCAGGCATCTCACATCACAGTGGTGCCAGGAAGAGCAAAAGCGGGTGAGCACGAAGATGCTAGAGCTGAGCGCTGTGATGGCACAGAAGATGCTGTGAAGAGAGTTCCTTTTGCTGCAGAGAAGGTGGGCAGGGCAGGCTCCCCGCAGATCATGTTCAAGCCAAGAGTGACAGGAGATGGCATTTAGAACAGGGATCAAGACCAGATCAGCAGGGGTTTGAAGCAAGGGTGAGAAGTTAGACTTTATCCTGAATACATTGGGAAACTAGTGAAAGGTTTAAGGAGAAAAATGCCATCACCAGATTTACATCTGAAACAATTATTGGGGCTGCTGTGCGAGCAGAGAATAGGGGAAAAGTCACACAAACAGGTGCTTTGTCCACCATAGCCTGGAAGATTCACAGCAGCCTTTGTCTTCTCCAGTCTTGTATTGTACATCAAGTCCTTATTTCTTCTAAAATGCATAATTGGTAGGTAAGTCTAGTAGTCCATATTCAGTTAGATGTAAAACTTTTTTGTTCAGAAGTAAACTGTTGGGCTAGGGTTGTCACTCAGCAACATAAGCACCTGCCTGGCAAGTACAAGGTCCTGAGTTCAATTCCCAGTACTAAAACAAAAACAAAAAGAAGGAAAAGAAAAGAAAAAGACACTCTTTACAAATGCTCCCACAGCAAACCTTATTTTTAGAATAAGTTTATCCCTCAAACTATTAAGAAACTGGCAAGTGCAACACCCTGAGTTTGATTTCTTCTCTAATTTTATAAATGGCTTAGTAAAATGTGTTACTTTTTAACTAGACAAAACTTTTAGAGTTTTGAAATCACGTTTTTAGCAGTGTGATTTTCTTCCGTTAGTCTACTTGGGCCATCGTAAATTGCTATAGGTTTGAATGTCTTAGATGGAAGTGTGCTTTCTCCAAGGCTGGGCTTTTCTCCCTTGGTGCTTCCCTGCGCTCTTGATCTCTTCATCTGTCTTCAGGTGCAGTCTTGTTTAACGTCAGTGCATCAGCCTTTGAATTCTGCAGAGGCATGGCTATGTCCAGAACACACACATTAACACTTATTTTTGAGATCTCCTGTGACTATGGTGGCCGGGATGCATACCACCCATGCCTGGCTTCAGTCTTCATTGTTTTTGACAAGTGTTTTCTGTAATTCCGTGAGAGCATTGCAGTTCTCAGTCAAGGTACTTGTGATTGCAGTGAACCCCTCACAAAACTGAAAGGAGCCCATTGGTGGGGGTAGAGTTCTATGTCTGCAGGCCTCATGGGGTCTAGGAACAAGGTCAGAAAGTAGGGCAGCTTTCTCTGTCTGGCTCCCTGTGGCCTGTGGTCGTCTCTCACTTATCCTCATTCATTTCCTTTCTATGTTTGTGTCCTGTACTCGCAGCAGGCGATGGCCACTGCTCAGTCCTGGGTAGCTCTGTGTCAGCCCCAGGTGCAGCAGGCAGCCCACCTACCACCCCTGAGCGCAGAGCCCTTGGGCCTGGCTCTGTATGGGTCAGGTGCCTGCTGTGGGCCCCGGCTCCGCTGAGGTTGCTGGGCAGGAGGAACACAGTGTTAGAGGGCAGTCCGGGCATGCTCTCTGTACCGCGGTGACAGTGAGTGCCTGCGCCAGCTGCCTACAGCTCGCTCAGGTTGGTGGGGGCAGCCAGAGCCTGTACCCCTGCACTGCTTGGGTCCACAGTCGAGCTTGCTCCTTGCCAGGGTGGGGCCTGGGAACCAGCACTCCACACCATATGGTGCTGTCACTTGCTAGGTACCACTGCATGTGCACAGATGGTCACTTTAGAGAAGTTTCCCTGTAACATCTTACCTGCATGTTGAGTAGAACCTGCTCCTTCTGTGGCGTGAAGCTTCCAGAGGTGGGGAGCAGGCACTGCTTGGGAGCCCGCTTCTGTCCTCCCTCCTTCCCTACGAAAGTTCTCTGTTCACGCCGTGCACCCGCTCTGCCCTTCTTGTCTGCACCTGTCAGTCCCAGTAGTCATTTTGGTCATCTGGGAAGCCAAGAGCCTGTGGGACGGGGGCCTCGCGCACCCCAGGTCTGTGTCCTGTTACTGAGCACACAGAGCGGGCGCTGCGAGTATTGATCACGTGACAGGGTGAGCTCTTTTCTGAGAGCCCAGCAGGTTAAATTCTGTGTGCATGTTTGTGTGTGTGTGTGCAACTGGTGTGACAGGTTAACAGTTTTTAAAATTTAAACATTGGTACATTTATGAGGAATTCTTTTTCTTTAATTTTTTTTATTTAAAAGGAAAAAGAGAAAAAGCAGAACAAAACAAAACAGTGTAAGGGTACAAGTAATACAGAACTACAAAAAAAAAAAAAAAAAAAAAAAAACCAGTAAGCTATCACCAGTTAATAGATTACACGCTGTCATCTTAGAAATGGTGTTTCAGGTCATAGGATCAAAGCATACAAAGTGAACCCAAAATGTGCAAATTTTGTTGTAATAAAGAGAGGGGAAAAAAAAGTGCCCTAAAGGATACAACAGCAAGGGTGTTTAGGTGTGTTAAATAGATGACCATATTAATATTTTTGATTGGATTACTAAACACAACTATTTGCAGTCTCACTGTTTGAATGTTCACTATGAGGAATTCTTGAATGACCACAATGAGGTGACAGCAGGGTAGGTACGTTGTTGGGAGCATCCACTCCTGCATGGCGGGGGAAGACTCTTTCTCCTTTGCCACCTCCTCCTCCTCCTTCTCCGGGCACCTGCAGTCCAGAGACAGAGACACCCTGTGCAGTGAGTACCCCCAGTCCAGAAAAACAGTGAAAAGCACTAGGGAGCTGTGTTTTTCTCTGCCCTGAAATAACAGCAGTAGAATGCATTTCAAAAACCATGACGTGAGAGTACAGATTAGCCTTCCCGCTGTGAGTGGTAGGTTACAATAAAAACACTGGTGTGCCTGACTTGTTAAAATATAATTACCTATAAGGGTATTAAATGTATTCCTAAGTCTTAAGTAGTCTAACTGCAGTTTAAATTAAAAAAAAAAAAAAAACGATTTTAAGGCATAATTTTACCCAGGTCTACTCTAGTATAATTTAGATTATACGTCACTTCTTATAATTCTGTATGCTCTGTGAATCAAGGGTTCCCTGTCCTTTGATTATGTGGTTTTTCTGTCTTCCCTCTGTTATTGACTACACAGGACTGGCTGGCAGGAGGGTGGCGCAGCTCCTGCTCAGCCAGCATGGGAGGCCCTTTGCCACTGCGGGGATGATTGCTTCCCACCTGATGCCCGTGTCCTTTTGTCCTTTTCTTCCCATACCAGATACTCTAGATGAATATTTTGAGTATGACGCAGAGGAGTTCCTGGTCTCTCTGGCCTTGCTGATAACAGAAGGACGGACCCCAGAATGTTCTGTGAAAGGCCGAGCAGAGAGTTTCCACTGCCCACCAGCACAGTCGCGTCATCCAGGTGCCACCCAGCATGAGTGTAGCGACAAGCTGGCCCAGGTGAGCAGTGGCGGCTTCCTACACCTCCGCTGTGGGCCGGGTGAGAGGTGTGGCAGGGCCAGCCACAGCCTTGCAGCTCAGTGGGGAGCAGCGCCACCCCACCTGCCTTGGGCTGCCTGGCCTTGTGGCTATGCTTTAATTTCCTGTGCTATGGAGTCTCGTTTTAACTCTTCCACTTTGTAATGGTGTTGAGTTAGGAAACTGATATTACTATTTTCCCCACGTTAATGAATTTCCTCTTTTTTAAATTGTAGTATACTTTTGTAATTAACACTTTGTAAAATTACTACTAAAACATTTTGGTAGGTAGCATATAATTTTCCTTAGGAATTTTTGTCCCAGTTACTAGTTTTTCAAGTTACTAATAGTTTTTCAAATTTACTAGTAGTACAAATTTTTAAACATCTTGCCTGTCTTGAGGATTTAATGAAAATTATTCTTTGATAGCTTGGTATTCAGATTTAATTAATCTAGGGTCAGGGATTTAGCTCAACAGCACAAGTACCTCCCTGGCAAGTATGAGGTTGTGAGTTTGATCCCCAGTGCCAAAATAAAATGAGAAAAAAAAAGAATTAATCTTTCCCATGAAATGATAACAAAATGAAAAACTAGCCAAGATGGAGCTGACCCAGAGACCTGTCAGACATGGTGTGTGCCAGCTCTTTCTCCACCGGGTACAGCAGAAATGCCCTCCTTGCAAAAGTGCATGCCTTACACTCAGGCTGGAACCGGGGGCATGGCCTGTCATCCCACCACTCCTGGGATGCTGGGGCGGGAGGATCACAAGTTCCAACCCAGCCTGGGCAATTCAGTGGCTTAGTGAGACCCTGGCATTCATGCATAAATAAAGACAAATGTAAAAAACAAAAATAAAATTAGTAAATACATAATAATATGCTAATCTCTGTGCTCCAGAGTTCATGTCTATGAGAGCATTCTTTAATAAGAAAACCTAGATAACCAAGTCTGAGCAAATGCCACATTAGGTAACCCAACTTTACTGATAACTGCCTTGTGTTAGGATTCTCAGATATGCATGCAGAACTAGGTGGTTGTGAAGACGTTGCCTGGCATGCATCCGTGTGCATTTTCTCCTCAGTGTCGCCAAGCCAGGCGAACCCGGGCTGATGTGGCTCTGCTGTGGAAGAGCAGCCTTCCCATCATGGTGGAGGTGATGCTGCTCCCTGACTGCTGCTATGGTGACGATGGGCCCAGCACAGAAGGGACCCATCTGAATGACCCTGCCATCGAGCAGGATGCTCTGCTGCTGGAGAGATGGGTCCTGGAGCCAGTTCCTCGACAGTAAGTGCTCTGTCTCCGTGCCACAGTGACCTGGTAAAGCGCACTTCCTACTGCTCCCGACAAATCATTTTAGGAATGTGGCGTGTCTTTTAAGTCCCTGCACTCGGTATAGTGATATTAGATGTTTAGCACTTCTGTTAGGTAACAGTGATTTCATGTGGTACTGGTAAGTGCATTTCTACACTCTTCAAAATATGCATTGTGACAATAGGTTTGTTTCATCTTCTCTCTTCCTAAAGTTCACTCACTGTTTTATACTTTTGACTCTGCACTACACGTTGCTGCTTCCCTTAGGAGCAGTGGTCGATTCGTTGAAGAGAAGACTCTCCTGCTTGCTGTCCGCTCGTTTGTGTTCTTCTCCCAGTTAAGTGCTTGGCTGAGTGTCTCTCACGGTGCAGTCCCACGAAATATCCTGTACAGGTACGATTCGGGCCAGGAAGGGGAGGCAGCACATGCCATGTTTTGCCTGCATTATGTACCCTTTTGAGTCTGAATACGAGTGGATAACATTAAGTTTTTCTTCAAATGAGTTAGAAAGGTTTAGACTAACTCAGTATGAATTTTGTTGGTTGGGTTAAATTTCTTTTTTTTTTTTGCCTTTTTCGTTTTTATTGGTACCAGGGATCGAACTCACGACTGCCTGCTTGCAAGGCAGGTGCTTATGCCGCTGAGCTGAATCCCCAGCCCCTGGGTTAAATTTCTTACAGAATAATATTAAGAGAATTTTAAGCTTACTTTAGAGGGCCAAAAGTAGATTTTTAATGCTGCTGCTGTAAAGTTTCCTGGGCTTGGAATTTCTGTCGTGGTGGTTGCGATGAACAGATCAACACTAACACCTGTGCCTGCAGCCCCGGCTGCTTGGCCTGAGGCACAGGAGGGCTTCTGGGAGAGGCTCAGGGCCAGCCTGGGCAGCACAGAAAGAGCCTGCTTTTTAAGAAGTGTGCACAGCAGGCAGGCATACTCAAGATAGTTTCCCTTTATCACCTCACATGGTAAAATGAGCCAAGCCTAGTTATGCATTGGGAAAGATGAAATCCTTTTTTTTTTTTCTATTTTGACAAATATTTTAAAATTCTAGTGTCGAGCTTTGTACCACACTCTGGCAGTGGTTTTACCAGAGGTGCGCGCACCAAGAAGTGGCTGAGGTGAAGCTACAGACCAGGATGAGCACACCAGTGGCTCGCAGTGTAGAGACGGTGCGCGGGCGGTCTGCTCCCACAGTCCTCTGACTCTGTACTTCTCTGTTGGGCTCTAGGATCAGCGCTGCTGATGCAGACCTGCAGTGGCATTTCCCCCAGACTCCTGTTGAACACGTGTTTCCTGTCCCCAACGTTTCTCACAACGTGGCCTTGAAAGTCAGCGTTCAGTCCCTGCCCCGACAGTCTAATTACCCAGTCCTGAGCTGTAGTATTCACACCAACCTTGGCCTTTATGAAGAGAGAATTCAGGAGCATGAGCATAAAGCCCGCCAGCACCATGGTTCTGCCGAAGCAGAGCACTATAGTCTGAACAGCCCACAGCGTCTGTGCGCCAGACAGGCGTGGGCTGTGGCACCTGAGAGTGCACTGCATGTGAGGGATGGCCCGGCTCCAGAGCATGCTGCAGCCACCAGGAATGGCGGGTCACTTCCGGTTGTGGGCAGAAAATCCCCTTATGAGACATCTCAGGCCAGTCTTCTGGGCTTGAATGGCCTAGGAGACATGAAGCCACATGAAACACCCATGAAAACTTGGAAGTCACTTTCAGTGGTGGATCCCAGCATCTCCGGCCAACAGAGCTCCTGGCAGCCGGCTGGCAAGGCAAACCCTCTAATAGATTCCTTAATCCAGGATCGCCAGAAAGTCATTGCCAGAATCGCCCAGCACCTGATTCATTGTGACTCAAGCACTCCCCATGTTGCCACACACCCATTCGCCACCCAAGAGTCCAATCCCCTGCATCCGAAACTGTGTCAGGCTTCTCGAGAGAAAGACGATGTGAGGAAATGTAAAGATGCTTTCTCCATTTCTTTTGGTGGTCCAGAGTTCACCTCCACAGAAGATGCTAGCAAAGGACAAATTCGAAGGAAACAAGACCCTTTAAAAAGTGAGACTCATGTCCCTGGGGCTCCGTCCTCTCACCAGAGCACTGGAGAGGCAAACCCTCTGATAGGCTCCTTGCTGCAGGAGCGGCAGGATGTGATTGCCAGGATTGCCCACCACCTGGAGCACATCGAGCCCACAGCATCCCACTCTCCCCGGCCAGCCTTGCACTTGCACGACCCCAACAGCCTCCCCTCCAAAGTGTTCCGGAGTTTCTGTGATGGCAGGCACTTGTGGAAAAAGAACGCGGATGATGCTCCTCCTTCCCTTCCTCCTTCAAAATTGTCCTTGTCAGGAGACAGCACCAACAGGACAGACCTACTACCTGAGAAGGCTTGCAGTTCTTTTAAATGCGGCAGTAGAGAAAAGTCCTCTGTGAAACCCCAAGTATGGACTCAGTGCCAGCACCGCCCTCCTGACAGTGTCCAGAGTGCATGTCCGGAGGCACGGGACAAAGCTGCTGCTCTGTTGACATCCTCAAATGTGTCCCAATGCAGTGCCAGTGACTTGGGTCCGATCAGCAGATTGGAAAAGACATGTGCAGAGGCACAGTTTAAGGGGCAAGAAGGCAGTGCTGGAATTGACAAACAGTGTTCAGATCGCAACAGTGTTGACAAAAGGATCTGCACGAATAAATGTAAAGGAAAAATAATGAATAATGACCATTACAACCTGGAATCTTTTGACAGTATCCAGTTTGATAACTCAAAAACAATTGACTCAAATACGGAAGTTACTATGTGGGAAATACCTGAACATTTGAACAAGTATGAAAATAATTGCTCAGATAAGAACTCAGCAAAGCCCAAGACATATGAGCACAGTGCTCAACTAAGTAGTATAGAAAATTATCTCAATAACAACAAAAGTTTCAAATGCAAAAAATCAGACCAATTAAAAACTGAGGAGGATAACAAAGAAGATGCAATAGTTGAAAAAACTCAAAACTGTTCTCAAAGAAAGAGTGTGAAAGGCTGTTTGTCCACTTGTGAACAAATGAAAAACACAAAAACATTGGTAGGTAACATCTGACGTTTCAGATATGCGTCTCAGCTGTTTATTAGGCTTGACTTCTGTTCACAGGAGAGGAGGTGTAACAGCCATGGTCCCCAGCACCCAGAGGACCCATGGTCTGCTACCCTGAGCCCACTGAGTGGCTGGCACCTGGCCAGTGAGCTGTCCTCTTACAGCAGATGCTAGATAATCAAGAAGGGAAGGCTGTGGCTGTAAGAGTAAGGAGTGACCAGCTGGGCATAGTAGCATTCGCCTTTATCCTAGCACCTTCCAGGCTAAGGCAGGAGGTGCTGTTTGAGCCCAGCCTGGCTGGGCAGCTTAGTGGCTCAGTGAGACCCTGTCTCAAGATAAGAGAAGGGCTTGTGTGAACCTCAGGGTGAAGGTCCTGGGTTCCCTCCCAGTAGCACGTGTTCAGTCAGGGCTATAGTGGAGCCTGTTAAAGAAACAGCTATTATGGCAGCATTTTAAAATTCCATTAGGTATGTTACAAGGTCTTCCCCTCTCCCTCAGTCTAAAAGGACTGTTACTTTGTCATCTACCCAGAAGCCCTGAAGTTTTTAGTATTTGGTCTATGGACCTGGGAGGATGAATGAACACTGCTTAATACGATACTTTGATGCAGTGTGATCTTTGTAGCCTTCAGTTACAAAGGGACAGGTAAGAGGGACATGAGGAAACATGAGGCCAAGAGTGGCTAGCATGCCAAGAGCAGGCTGTGCAGGTCCTTCGAGCCTGCGCGAGCCCCAGCACACTCCATCTCCCGGCCTGAAGCCCAGTCTTCTTCCCTGTGATTCTCAAGAGTTGGGGACAGGTGCGTGCATCCTGCAGATGCTTGGTGCATTCAAACCCATCCGCTGCCCTGCGTTTGTTTCCATACTTACGAGCAGTTGACAGCAGGAGTCTGGAGGAAGTGCCCCTTAGCTTCCTGTGGCTTTGTTAGCACCCAGCTGCCTGCTGTGTGGTGCCCCCGAGCACATGGGTAGCTCACATCACGTCACTGCTGAAGCCTTTGTCTCAGTGGCCAGTTTGACTCTTTTCCTACCTCAGGGCTGTGATGGTGATCAGTAATGTATTTTGGTAAACTTTAATGTACTGTCTGAATTAAGAGATTCACTGAAACTGCACTTTCCACAGAAACCTACCATTAATCTTTTTTGTGAGGTGCAATGATGCATGCCTGTAATCACAGCTACTCAGGAGGTTGAGGCAGGAGGATTGAGAATTTAGCCTGGGCAGTATGGTAGGATCCCCATCTCAAAAAAAAAGGTAACAGAAGATTGGTATTTTTGTAATCTTGCTGGTACCTGAGAGGGAAACTTGGCCTGAGCATGGTGTTTTTCGAGCCGCTGTGATTTTTAGGTTTCACGGATGTGTTCCAAGCTTAGCCACAGGGTGCTCGACAGAGGCTCCTGTGCTCTTACAGGTGTCCACACAGCACTTCTTGGCCCTCTCGCCTGACTCTGGTGAGAGAGGACCATGGGGCCAGAGTGGGCAGCTAACCTGCCCACTGTTACATGGGAAAGTCACATTCCAAATTAGTTTTCTCTAATTTTTATTTTTTATTCATGTGTTGTATGAATTTCTGGTTTTTCAGTGTTTGCCCAATTTTTAAGAATTAGTCCCTCTGTCCTTCCATCCTTTTTTTTTTTTTATTCCTGTTCCTGTTTTTTCTTTTTCGCTTATTTTTTAGACAAGGTCATTTTTTTCCTCCACCCTTTTGAGATGGTCTTACTATGCAGTTCTAGTTGGCCTGGCCTCACCATGTAGCACAGACTAGGCTCTAACTCATGGTGAACCTCCTGCCTCAGCCTCCCAAGTGTTACGATTACAGGCGTGCACCACCATGCCCTGCCTACACATTGTTTCTGTGTTGCCCAGACTGGCTTCCAACTCCCAGGCTCAAACAATACTCCTGCCTTGGCTTCCAAAAAGTTAAGATTACACGTATGATGTGCTACCATGCCGGCCTTGCCTGTTTTTTAAATCATATCAAAAACATGGTACTTTTGACTGTATTGTATGTCTTTCAAAATTTCTAATATTTCTGGTGTTTCCATATATGCAACATCAATTCCTCTGAAAATAATTTTAAAGTGTCAGTGATTTTTTTTTTTCCCTAAGTAGTAGTTTTTCATAAATTAAATACTGGTCTGTTTGATGCTAGATTCTGAGTAAATGTGTTGTTAGCACAGCAGTGTGGGCATACTTTAAAACATTCTTGCAACATAGTACAAAAATAAAAACGGATATTGTTTCCCACTTGACTGTAGGCATAGGTAGAGGTGTTCCATGCTTCAAGACCAAGGACGCTGCACCTCAGAGCGTGTCAGAGATGGGTTTGAACTAAAAGCCACTGAGGTCTGTAAATGGCTTGTAAGTCATCTTTAAATGCCACCATTGAAAAGCAATTCTTTTCCTCACAGAGGACCGCACTGAAATACTCGAGTGTCTGGCAAAAGCCTAACTTTCATTCCTTGGACGGAACTTCAACCCGAGCCTTTCACCCCCGAACTGGATTGCCTCTGCTTTCAAGTCCTGTAAATGTTTCTTTTTTCTCTTATTTCATGCTGAATGCCTGCAAAGTCACTGTATTTGAATTTCAATTGAAGAATATTTGTGTGGTGCTATTAATTCCTGTGGAACCCATTGTGGCCAGCAGAGGAAGCAGGCAAACCCTCTCTACGGCCCAGGCTGCCTCAGATTCAGTTTTTTAAAAGCCAGTTGCTTTTTATTAAAGATGATCTCACAGCACTGGTACAGAATCAGCAGGAAAAGGAAACGTGAAATTCAAGTATTGAACCCTGTTAGAGCAACCTGCAAGGGAGTTACAGATAATTCTTCCAATACTGTAGGGCAAAGCCAGGAAATTAAGAACATGCCGATTTGGAGATGAAATAGAAACCAGACAGGAAGGGTACAGTATATGAAGTGTGTACACGCACATGCACACACGCATGCATTGCAGAGTGAGAGTAGTAGCCTAGCACCAGCTGAGTAGGCAGGGTGAGGAAGTAGACAGATGTACACCAAGCACCTAGCATGTGGTACAAGGTGAAAACCAGGGAGATCTGAAAGAGCCACGGAGGATGGTGATAAATCTAGACATTCCCAAAGGACTAGCTGGAATAAGCAAAATTCTATGTTTGAAGAAATTGGAGAGCTGTCCAGAATTGAAGGTACTACAGATTTAAGTTGAAAATTTCACAACTAAGTTCTGACCACAGTATGTCAGCATGCTACACTTAGATGACTCAGAGCTGTAAGGTGCAGTACCGTCTGAGTTGGGTATTTTACACGGACTTATTGTCCTAAAAGCAGGTCTTTCTGACAGTCATGTGGAATAGATCCGGCTCTTTCTGTCAGTGTGCCGTGAGGAGGCTGCAGTCATCCTGAGCAGGAGGCACTGCCCTGGCGTTTGGGAGTCCGGCGTGCTGTCCTCTGCTGGTTTTGGCATCCTGGGCCTGGCCAGTGGGCAGAGCTGGCAGAGGCAGCAGGGCTTGGCCTCCTGGTGCTGACTGTCGCCCCTTTTACTTCAGAGCTGTCCCTGTTCCCACTGCCCCCATTCAGAAGTCTGTAACATTTAAGACGTAATCATTTGACATGATACTTAGTTTTAGGGGAAAACAGTTCCAATTCTTAAACACTTGAAACCTAAAGTGCGTTTATTAATTATCTTTTTCCATACAAGCAAATACAATGAGTAAGGAAAATATGTAAACAGCATTATTTGAAGTAAGCTATTAGACATGTGTTAAAGATCCGTTTAACTTTTGTTTCAAAAGTATTTTATCAATTCAAGAAAACACTGCAGTCTTGTTTAATACTACAAATGGTTATTTTGATCTTAGGTTCCTCAAAGAAAAACACAGTCAGGCTGCTTTGATCTGGATTCATCATTGCTACATCTGAAAAGATTGTCATCTAGAAGGTATTTACCTAAAGCTGCATTTGTGAACATGAAACAGTCTCACACAAGCTTAGTCTTTCACAGTAAGTGATATTGACTGGAAAGAGAAAGAATAGGATTCTTGTTTTCAGTGTGGTACTGCACATTCAGAGTTACTAAGGTTAAGGAAGAAACCACAGTGGTCACAACTGTATGTCGGTTATCCTAACAAGCAACTTGTAGCATTTATGTACATTTGTATATTTTTGGTCATTAGATTTTTTTGTTTTTTGGGTTTTTTTTAGAGACAGGGTCTCGCTGTGTAGTTCAGGCTGGCCTTAAACTTGCTTATGTAACTCAGGCTGGCCTCAAACTCTGAGCGATCGTCCTGCCTTAGCCTCCTGAGTTACTGGGATTACAGGCATATGCCACCACATCCAGCATTTGGTCATTAATCTTATCTTTTATTCCTTTTATTCCATGTTGGCAATTTAATTTTATTTATTTATTTATAGATATATATTTGTTGCCAGGGAGTAACCCAAGCCTCGTATGTGCTAGGCATGTGCTGTACCCCTGAGCTGCACCCTCAGCCCCGGTCAGGCTTCAGTTATATTTCATCTTTGTATCTACCTTTGTGCCTTGAGGACAGAGATTGGTGTGCTGTCTGTTTCCAGTAACCGCCACTGTGTGGTAGGTAGGTGAGCAGACAGGGAGAGATAAACAGAAATTTTAAACTAGAAGGTTTATACATTGAAGTTTGATACTCTGTTATGGCAGAGTAAAATTAGGTGAGCAGACAGGGAGAGATAAACGGAAATTTTAAACTAGAAGGTTTATACATTAAAGTTTGATATTAATTTTGTTATGGCAGAGTAAAATTGTTCAGATTCTCCTAAATTCATAGAAATGCAAACAAGAAACTTGTGATTAATGATTTGTTTTTTTGCTTATTTTAATAGTCCTCGACCGAGTTTAAACATTGAAGATGATCCAAATATTCATGAAAAGCCTTTTTTGAGTTCTAGTGCGCCACCCATAACAAGTCTTAGTCTCCTAGGAAATTTTGAGGTAATGTGATTTAAAGGTATTTTAAGAGTTGAAGTTTCTTACCTAAGAGTATCATTTATGTCTCTTTAAAAGTTTCTTTGTTAAAAGGAACTAAATCAGTGGTCTTTTTGCAAAGCCTTGAATTTGCTTTTTATTTTGTTTCATTTTCATGAGTAGGATTGTCACACTGGTATCTTAGAACCGGGGAGCTGGTAGCTGCCCTTGGGACTCAGGGTCAGCCTGGAGGAGAGACTCAACTGTAGCCACTTAGCCGCCACAAGCTGCTCTGCTAACTCAGTGTGGCACCTCGTGACCCGGGAGTCCAGTACCGGCCTGGGGCTCAGTGAGAACCAGTTCAAACACACAGTGGAAGTGGTCAGGCCTGAGACGCAGGAAAAATGCCACTGTGTGACCCAGGAGACCAAATGACAAAGTCAGATGGTTGTCTGTCCTCCATTTGTAACTTCTCTATGCATCGTGGGTCTAAGATGTGACTTTTACAAGTCAAATGTTTGGAGATCCCGGATACATACGTTTGGCAGGGGAAGAGGGTACTGAGTGTTGAACCCAGGACCTTTGCACCAAGCTACATCCCCAACCCTTTTTCACTTTTTACTTTGAGACAGAGTCTCACTAAGTGACCAAGTTGCCCAGGCTGGGCTTCCAACCTGTGACAGTCCTGCCTTAAAGTGCTGGCTCCCAGTTGCCTCACCATCAGATGTAACCTTTGCTCAGCTCTCTTTAATTAGAAGTTAGCCTCAAACACAAAATATGTAAAGGACATTTTAATTGGTGTTTTTTTAGAGGAAATAATATAAGTTTTGTGTTTTAATTGAAGTAACCAGAGTTGCCAGTATTCTTTACAATTCAAAGCCGTCATTCTCAGCTTTAGTGGAAATAAAAGGGAAAGATACTTTTGTTGAATCAATCCTTTTACACATCATGCGCAAGGTTGGAGTTTAGAGATGCTAAGCTCTCCGTTGCGCTATCTTAGAATTGGAGCTGCAGGCCAGGGTCCAGTAGCTATGCCAGAGGCTCAGGAGAAAGGACCCAGAGGTCAAGCCCAGGCCAGGTGACTTAGCAAGTCCCTGTCTCAGAATTAAGTAAAACAAGACAAAATAAAATGAAAAGAGCTGGGGTGTAGCTCGGTGTTAGGGTGCTCACGGCATGTGTGAAGCTCTGGGTTCAGTGCCCGGTGCAGGAGGAATCCCATAGACAGTGCTGTGAGTGCCAGGTGCTTGCTCTGCAGCCTTTAGAGGGCTGGAGCTGGTGGGCATGGCCCCCTTGCCCACACACGAAGCCTGACGGGAGGGAAGGTGCTTTTGAGACCCCTGAAGACTGCTTTAGAGATTCTGTGTGTGTAGCTATGCATACATTTTCAAGTGACATAGGGAACGTGCACAGAGAAGTGCTGCAGCTGTCCCAGTTCCACACTTGTCTTCATAATGAATTTGAGATTTTCTTCAGTAACTTATGGAACATATTTCCTAGTGAGGTTAGTGACTTGGGGCAATAAGAAGGGTGTGGGGCCTGGCATTTTAAACTTACACTGGTGGCATCCCACAAAATAGGACCAGGTCTCATCACTGCAGTGTGCGGAGAGCAATTAACTGCTTCGCCACGCTCTCTGGCTGCTGCAAGATCTGTAAACACCCTGACCCAGAGACATCTCCAAGGGGCCATCCACCCAAGCTCTGTAGCAAATGGCTCACCTTTTCTATTGCCAAACCTCATTCCGTGTCTTCAGCTCGTGTGTCCGTGATTGTCTCCACAGTTCAGTCTGTCCTGACACTGGCAGCCATTGGCTGGGGGTGACTTTCCCATACAAGGAAGTTGAGTCTAGCTAAGTGGCACAGGCTGACTTCAGGCTTGTGATCTTCCTGCCTCAGCCTTCTGAGTAGCCATAGTTACAGACGTGTACCACCACTCCCAGTTTAGATTGTACTTTTTACTTGGAGATATAAAAATAGCACTAAACAACTAGATAGAACAAATGGCAAGGTTCCAGGGGCTTGGAATAGCGAGAGGACCCGGGAGGTGGTAGGAGCTGGGCGGAGTGGGTTCTTGGGAGACTGTGGCACCGCGATGCTGGCACTGGAAAGCATCTGACACCTTCGTAGACAGAAAGTGAGCTGCTCTCACCTTTCCGTGACTTTTGTGTCTTGCAGGAGTCTGTTCTGAACTACCGTTTAGACCCCCTCGGGGTGGTGGATGGCTTTACTGCAGAGGTGGGGGCCAGTGGCGTGTTCTGCCCCACGCACTTGACCCTCCCTGTGGAGGTGTCATTCTACAGTGTTTCTGATGACAACGCTCCCTCTCCTTATATGGCAAGTATTATTTAACTTCTTTGCTAGAACCAGGGAGTGTAATAACAGGCCTCTTGGGGCTCTTGGTGCAGAGCTTGAGAGAGTAAAGGGGTTTAGGCTGAGTGCAGGTGAAGGCCAGGCCGAGCTGTGCCCTCGCACTTAGCCGCGCTCTGGCTCCGTCTTGCTAAGTTCCCACAGCATGCGCCTGACTCCTCAGCACCCTGGTGGGGAAAGCTTAGGGCCCACAGCTGCACCCCGGCCCATGGGTTTGTCTCCTGCTCCCCTGTTCCTGGCCTCTACAATGCGGCCTTCTTCTGCCTGCTGCCCCTGTCATAGTGAAGGGAGGAACAAGAGTGCAGCCGTGGGCCTCCCATGTGTGATTTCTCCTTTTCACTGCTTATCCCAGTGGATCACAGATCACGTAAGCCTTCAGCTTCAGAAGCTGCATAGCCACCCTTCCCCATGTACACGGTCTCCGCTAAGTCATTGAAAACAAGTGGAGGCAGCTGCATGGCCCTGGTTTCCTGCCTGGCTTTCCTAACTCTCTGCCTGGACCAGTGGCTTCCTGTCCCCCACCTTCAAGGCTTCCAAGAACATCAGGGACAGTGTCTTTCACTTTTAGGCTCCCTGGCAGCTTTCTTCCCTGTTAGTGTTGCATTTGCCGGCCACATCAAAGGCAGAGGCACCTTCCTGAGCTTGCCCCATTGCCACATATGCTGCAGAGATGTGTCCACTGCCATGCAGAAATGAGATGGCAAGTGCCATTGAGATGAGCCCCATACCATGAGACACCAGCCTCCTGGAAGGCTTCTGGGCAGGAGAGCTGCAGTGACTCGGTGTCAGCCCCAGGGGTGCTGCTCACCTGCGGTGAGAAGGGAGGTCAGGACCACAGTGCAGAGTTCTTGCTGCTGGAACTGGCTCAGAAGATCAGAAGGTGGTTTGGCTAGAAGTCAGCTTCAGTACATACTTTTGAGTGACATTTAAGAGTAAGAGGAAATTTAAACTGTATTTTTATTAAAGGAAATAGCATTAATCTTTGACTTTGTTTGACATCTTAAAAAATGAAAAGAGATAAAACGCTTCCATCATGGTGTCCCCAGAAAGCACGGAAGCATATGCAGAGGGTCTCCGATTCTGTCGGCTAGAAAGACCTGTGTGCATTAATCCTCGCAAGAAGCCAGGCTTCCTTTCCACTTTACCAGCTAAGAAAATAGGTTCCTTCTGCAAACAACTGAGCCCAAATTTTAGACCAAAGATCTTTCCTAGTGTAAATTAATAAAAGTAATATTTTCTTCAAGGAATGTTACTTGTATCTCGGTAGCGTAGTCTTCTTTCAAAGGACTGACTGTTCTTGAAGACAGTGCACATCACAGACCACAGAGCCCGGCCTGTTACCTGGTAACTCGAGCTCTGGTGCAGATCCCACAGCTGAGTTGCATAGGCTGGGCTCTCTGTGGCTGGAGATGGTGGTGTCTACTCATTCAGTGAGCCCTTCAGAACGGGCAACACTTTCCACAGCACCTGTCCACAATGCTGACCAGCAGGGACACTGAACCTAAGGCCAGAGACAGGCAGGGGCAGGGTGGGGGTCCCGACACTCATATCCACAGGCCTAGGGCCAGTTCCTTTCTGTTGCAGTTAGCAAATCAAGGTGTTCTCTTCGTTTCTCACATACTTCTGTCTGTTTTCTATTCCACAGTCATTTGAGGAGTTTTTGTGTGAGATTTTGACCAAATTTGTTTAAACTTAACTTTATTATTCTATCTTAAAATCCCAGAAGGAAATAGGTTCCTATTTTTATATTACATATGATAATTTTCTCTTGGATTAAATAATAGGTGGACTAACTAAAAAGATGAAATTATCAAAATAAAAATTAGTAAACTTAATAATAGTAGAATTCTGAATAACTTCCCAGTAACCTTCTGAATCTCTAATTTGCCAGTGTTACTACTGGTCTTACATTATTTGGAAATGGTGGTTTTTACACTGTTGACCAGACTTAATGTCTTCTGGTCATTTCTGAGTTGACTCAGCTGCTGTTCAGGATTGTAGAACCGTCAGAACCTCACATGCTGACAGGGACAAGTGCAGACAGGGCATGGTTCTGCCCTGTGGTCCTGGGTGTATTGTGATTGGGAGCGGCGCCCCTAGCAGGGGATCTTCGACCTGGCTCCCTCAGGCAGGGGCAGGGGTAGGTGTGTCTCGCTCTCTCCAGCACTGGGAAGGGGAGAGAGAATGGCCTAGGCTTTCCTCACTAGCTGCATGGGGCAGATGATGAGAGGAAGAAGCATAGAGCTCTGGTTTGGTGACACACTCATCAGCCTTTAAATGACCCCCAAACTTTCTCAGTCCAAAGCTACCTGTGTCTTTTCAGCAGCCATTCCCTGAGTGAGTACTTCCCAGATACAAGGTGGCAGCTTCACAGCAGGGCTGTGCACTTGGAGTGCAGGGACAGGCTCCCAGAGGAGCCTTGCCCCCTAGTCCCCTGCTCCTGCCTCCCAGCCCTGGCTGGCTGGCACGTGTGGGCATGTGGTTCCTCTACTTCACCACCTGAAGTGTCACTCAGGCAACTTAAGTGTGTGTGTGTGTGTGTGCGCGTGCGCGCGCGCGCGCGCAACCACCTGTAGTCATCTGGTCACCCAATCACTGAAAAGTTTCACTCAGTCATTCTAATTTATCTTGTGTGGGGGTGGGGCCAGGGGATATCCTCACAGGGAGCCCAGCTCAGGGGAGGGCAGCCATACTGAGCTGCTGCTGTTGGGGCCAGGCTCCCTGGGGACCCAACTCTGCTCTGTGAAAGTCCTCTCCTGAAACGCCTGGGTTCAGCCCCAACCCTGACTCCCACTTTAGCTTGTTGGCTTTTAATCCATTGTGTTCTGATTTAAAATCAGTTTGGTTTCTAAGATCTCTTAGTCAGTGAATGGCTGAAAAACAGTAGTTTACAAAGGTCCCGACTGACACATGCATAAGGGTATTTTTGGAGAAACCGTTATTCCTTGGAAAATGGGTTTGTGTAGCTTTTATGTAGAACAAAGGCTTGAAAGTTGCTGATTAAACCTTTTTCCCCTATTTTTTGCCTTAAAATCTCTTATCAGGCAAGAATCACAAACTCCTGAATATTCTTTTTCCCTCTGTCTTCCTCTCCCTTTTATTCTCCATCTTCCTTTCCTTTTCTCCTCTTTTTCCCTTCTTTTTTTCCTTCTTTTTTGTTCTTTATCTTTTTTTGTTGTCAGAATTCAGATGTTACTTAACCGCTTGACTAAAGAATCACTTTATTTTTAGCCAAGACTTACATCCTCAAACAAAATAAAATAAAAAAAGACTTACACCCTCCACCTCTCTTTCCTTTTGACAAGCTCGAGGAGCAGTGACTTGTGTTGTTTCTGCATTCCCTCTGCCCCCTGAGATTCATGGGAGCGAGCGATCCTGTAGCTCGGCACTGTTCCCATCTGGTGAGGAAACTCACCTTTCTCTCTCAGGTCACACTGGAGGCTTCCGGGAGAGTTGCCCTGGTGGTGCAGATTACCTACTGCAACGTCTCCAGGAAGAACAATGAACTGTTTCTTCATAGAATGTATTGCCATTAATTCAATTTGAGTATTTTTCTGTAGAAACAGAATTCTGCGGTTTTAGTAACTACATGATGTGTTGTTTTAGCCTTTGTGTGTACATGCCTCAGTTTATACTCAATTTGTCTTCTTTTATTTCAAGGGTGTCATTACTTTAGAGTCCCTTGGTAAAAGGGGTTATCGAGTACCTCCTTCAGGAACAATACAAGTGGTATGTGTTTTCTAGCCTACAATTGCAATAATCATTCTCTCACACACATATAGAACTTAGCCCTTTCTCCTGCTACTGCTGCGCAACAACTTTGGTAAGTAACAGTGGGGCTGCAGCTTGGTTTGGAGTTCCCATGCTCTGCCCAGCGGTCCTCTGGGGCCTGCAGAAAGGAAAGCATTACTGGGCTAACCAAGATGAATGCTTTAGACAGACAGTCTAGACCTTCTGCACAGCGTAAAGCTGTTTTCAGCACTATTGGTGCCTCTGCTTACTATAAGAAGCTGTACTGGGGCTGGTCTGTTAAGTTAAGAAGGAGATCCCAAGTACAGGAATTGCTCTCTCAGGAAAACTCGGAGCATGGAGCAGTGGTGTCCATGGTAGAATGATTTGACTTAGCAAGACAAGAACACTAAGTGGAAACATTGGTCTGACCAGTGTCAGGCAGAGAAGGCCTCTGCCTATTACTCTGGAGCTGCCCTTCTGCCCGAAGCAGCTCTGGTCACCTGATCAGTGATGCCGAAGGCCGAGTGCAGTGGGTTCTGGCCCAGGTCATGCTCAGCGCCAGGTCCTCAGGTCTCATGTGGAGCTGGGGGATGGCAAACTTGCCCAGAGCCTGGGCGCTTGGATCTGGCCAGGCCACAGGCTTGGTGTCACCCTGGGCCTCTCACTACTGCCAGCATGGCAGGGAGGCCTGTGTGTGTGCCTCACACCACATGCAAGTGCCACATAGAGTCTATGTGTACCCAGCAGGCAGTACTGAGATAGTGTGACTTCTGTCTTTTGAGTTACTGAACTGCAGGAGTGACAGCTTCTGTCCGAGTCAGGTGCCAGTCAGCCAGCTGGTGGCTCTCCTGGCAGTGACACACTGACCCGATCTGGCACGCTGACCTCCCCTCTGCAGTACGCAGCCAGGGTGGCCAGCTGTAACTGTGAGACCCAGCCTCACTCCTTCTGTGGTTGGGCCTCCTGCTTGGTGGTCGTGGGTGTGAACTGCATTGGCTGTGATCATAGGACTCACTAGACTGCAAGATTGGGCTGTAATGTTGAAATGGTTTTTATCTTGATTCTGTGACTGATCTCCAGGGCCATGGATGAGCTTCTGAAAGCACAGGCACCGGTTTACCTATTGTGGTGTTGGTAATTCAGGCAATGAGCTCAACAGCTTGGGGATTCACTTAAAAATCAGGACCTGGGAGTGTTTTCCTTTCAGTTATTCATGGATGGCCAAGAACCCATTGCACTCAATGCAGTCTTCACTAAGGAAACACATTTTGGTCTGTAATCAGACTGACTGAAAAACACAACCTAGTGTTTCTGCAGAGTTTGAAAAGAGATCAGGTATGAGACCATGAAATGTTATTAGCCTACTTTGGATCTAATAATAATGAGGTGTATTTTATAAAGCTGAAAAGAATCACAAATAGAGAACATTTCTCTAAACTTTTAGTTTTATTACTGTATGTACATAAAGCACCAAAAATTCTAGTTTTACCTAACTTGTATTTTTATTTTAAAAATTCTGTTTTCTCACCATTAAAATGTGAGAAAACTTAATACTCTGCTTTGAGAATTTTTCATTTGATATTCATCAAGAAAGCTAAAGTTTGAAATTACACAACTAGAATGTTTTAAACTTAATAGGGTCTATCTTGCTGGAGCTAATCGAACTATTTCTGAAAATCTAAATTTCTATGAAATTTATAACTAAAGATGTTGATTTATTATGGGACTTACAATGCTGTAAATGAAAGGCCCGGCCTCTGCAGTCATAGTGCGCAGAAGTTCAGTCTGTAGCCCAGGGACGTCGGTGGGCTGTCTCTGGGGAGAGCCTGTGTCTGTAGCGCGGTATCTGACTCGCCCGCTGTCCCCGCTCTTGAAGAACAGTGTCTCTGCTGTCTCTCCAGACCTTATTCAACCCCAATAAGACCGTGGTGAAGATGTTTGTGGTGATGTATGACTTGCGTGCCATGCCTGCCAGCCACCAGACCTTCCTGCGGCAGAGGACCTTCTCGGTGCCCGTGAAGCCCACGGCCAGGCCTGGCGCCGGCCAGGAGTGCACCCAGCACACTGAAGAGCGCTTGTTACGCTACCTCATCCACCTGAGGTGATGTCTGGGGACCGCAGGGCAAACCCACAGTTTGTATTAAAGGCCCCTGGTGACAGCCTGGAGCAGCGCCCTGGGCCCGCTGCTTGCTAGGTGTGTGGCATGGACAGTGCCCAGCTGTGGGTGGAAGCAGATCCTAGTCCATCTGCATTCCAGGCTGTGGCTGCAGAGTAGCTGTGATTAGAGAGCAGTGCACGTTCTGGTGACTGCATGGGAAATACCTTTCTCCTGACTCCCTCCACCAGGCCAGGCTCCTAGTCTGAGACAGTACAGGCTCTCTGTGGCCAGGATTGGGGCCAGGTCTGGATGCAGAGCAGGTGGCAGGGAGAGGGCGGGAGCCTGTCCCCTCCCCTGCGTGGTTACCTCAGCATGTGCACCTGAGACTGGACCCATGCCACAGGGAGCCATGCTGCTCCCCAGTCACCCTCCACCAGGCCCTCACCCCGGCTCACTGCAGTGTAGCCCATGGCAGTCTGTGGAAATTGATGTTCCTGAGCTTCCTGGTCGAGGGCTCCATCCAGAGACTGTAATCCTAGCACTCAGGAGGCTGAGTTTGAGACCAGGCTGGACTACAAAGTGAGCTCAAGTCCAGCCTGAACTGCATAGCGAGACCCTGTCTCAAAAGATAGAGATGGCACCAAGACAGTGCTCCAAACCAGCTTTTGATGCTGCCTGCATGAGCTTCTCTGGAGTTCCCACAGTGCTGGGGAAGGAAAATGTACCTGGAACAGACTCGGGGCAGTGGAACACACTGCTGCCTCCCTGCCGCACGAGGCTTCCTTGGCTAGACTTCGTATCACGCGGCCCCTTGCCTCACTTGCTCACTGCATGTGCGAGTTTACCTCGTGGCTCCTGTAGCCAGGCAGGTGGTCACCCAGTGCTCTTGAAGTTTAGCAGCCAGGTACTGAGAGTCACTAGCATGAAAGTTGGCCCTGGAAGTGAGCCGGCCGCTTCCCAGGCTGGAAGAAGCTGGTGGGGAAACGGTGCCCTCCTCAGTGTGGAAGGCGCCTCAGCAGGGCAGGGACTGAGCTGCAGGTCTTTCCCCCACTTTCGAAGTGAAGTCCCCAACCCAGGGCACCAGTCCCAGGCACACGGGATGTGGTGCTGCTGCCAGCTCCAGCCCCTGGCACCACAGGACAACAGCAGGATGGAAGTGCCTAGAATGTTTCTGATGGCCATTCTCCACCCCACCCGAAGCTGGGCAGGTGTGACTGAGCTGGTCAGTGCTGACCACCACCCTTCTCTCACCTGTAACTGTCTCTGGTGACACTCAAGCATGGTAACCATTGTAATCTAACCTAGGTCGTGCAAGGCTGACAAGCTAATGCAGATGGGTCTGTGAGTCCCAGATACAGGACACCCAGCCTGGGCAGGGCTGAGAGGCTGCCGTGCAGGAGAGGGGCCAGTACGGCCGGTCAGGAGAGGAAGGAGGGAGGACGAAGACATTGTTGGGGGAGAGCCCTTCACCTTAGGAGCAGGCACCTTGGCAGCCCAGGGTCCTCACTGTCCATGTGTTAGCCCAGGTGATCCTAGGAAGTCATAACCACTAAGTGGACTCGCTGTTCAGACCCCTTCCCTGAGTGTCTGTCTGTCCTACCAGGTTCCAGAGCTCTAAATCTGGGAAGATCTACCTCCACAGGGATGTGAGGCTGCTGTTCTCCAGAAAATCCATGGAGGTTGACAGCGGTGCTGCCTACGAGCTCAAATCCCACACCGAGTCACCAACCAACCCTCAGTTTTCCCCACGGTGTTGACCAGGAGTGACAAGGTGGCACGCCACTCAGTCCCGGTTTGAAGTCAGGGTTTGCATAGGGTGGAGTGCACCAAATTGCCAGCCGTGATGGTAGACGCCCTCCCAGCCCCAGCCCAGAGCCACTGTCCCTGTGAGGCCAGAAGGAGGCTGCCTGCCCCACCCACCCCTTCCTGTGGAGACCACTGCGTGGACACGTCGCAATAGCAAGGGCCCGTTAGTTAGTGTTTACACGTTTTATTTCTGTTATTTAATATTTAATGTTTTCCTTAATACTTAAGTGAATGTTCGTCTGTAGTGTCCTAATGTAGCACAAATCTTATGTAAAATCATACTATGTATTTTTGACATTATGTTAGAATCTGAAATATATGCAAAAGTCTTTAATTTTGTGTGCTGTCTTTTAAATGCTATTCATTTAAACTATGGAAAATGAGAATTGACCATCAGCTTCTCCAAGACGAACGCACTATGCAAGCATGGGCTTCTATCTCCCGTGGCCCCTGTGCCCAGCGCCCGCCACGATGCCCCTGTCCCCCTAGGCTCCCTGGCCTTAGATGGGTCTGTTCTTCCTTGATCACTGCTTGAGACGCTTCACATCAAACTGCCATCCAATGCCAGATAATTTTCTGGAATTGTTAAAATACGTACTTTGAAAACAAATTAGTATTTATATTGTAAATATATGCCAAAAAGCTTTTTTTTAAAAGTGTATTTGGCCTTCATTCTTAGTTGAGATGTTTTGTGACTGGGTGAGTGAGCCTGTCAGGCCACTGCCAGGATGGGCTCTGTGTCCCCAGCATCTCCCAGCTGTCACTTCCTGGATCAGGGCCGGGCAGAGGCGGCTGGCCACTGGCAGTGCCACCGAGGCAGGAACCTGACCAAGGGCACAAGAGGAGCGTGCTTCCAGGCCCTGTGCTGGGGTGGCAGAGTCCGATCTGCTGAAACCCACACCCCGAGTGGGGAGTAGCCACGGGCTGAGACAGCAGACCAGAGCCTCTCCTAAAACTTTAAAACTCTTAAAATACTGTGGATAAGGCTATTTGCGCCCCTTAACACTTCTCAGAGCTTCCAGTCACACAGAGCTGTGAAGATGTGCTGCTAAGCTCCAAGTTGCGTGGAAAGAACCAGGATCCAAGACTCGGGCCACGGCCCTGGACCTGACCTCCCGGTCTGTGTGCTGTGCAAGATGCACCTGCTCCTTTTGAGTTATCGGTCTGATTACCTTTATGCCACCTGTGTATGCAGTGCAGGTAGAGGCAGGTGTGGGAGCAGGCTGGGGGAGCAGTCCACAGGGGGTCGTGCGATCTTCCTGGGCCTACGGGTGTTTTTGTTTTTGTTTTTGTGTTTTGTACCAGGGATCAAACTCACGATCTTGTGCTTGCCAGGCAGGTGCTTATGCCTTAGCTAAATCCCTGGCCCAGTTTTGTTGTTTTTGGATTGCTGGGTTTGAGAGTCTTGCTGACCTCAAACTCGAGCTCCTGCCTGAGCCACCCACTTGAGTATGCTGGGCAAGTGGCTCCCCACGGACGCACACCCCCAACCCTAATTTTTAAAACGAATATCTCATTAGATGTACCTGGACTTACCAAACGTTAGAGGAAAGTCAATATTGATTATCTTAATTATTGTTTGACTTTTCCAGTGAGGTTTATCTGGAAACTGGTATGTTGTCGCGGGTGACCACGCAGACTCCGCCCCACGAGCTTCTCGAGGTTTGCGTGCGTCTCCTGACATTTCCAGGCGTGTTTTAGAAAATTAAAGAAGTTGGCTGTATTAGTTGCTTTTCTCCTGCTGATACCACAGACTGGATGAATTCTGAAGGAAAAGTTTACTTTTGCTCAGGGCTAGAAGGCATGGGAGTGATTGCTGGGGAGTCCTGAGAGCACAGGCACCCTGGGATGTGTGTCTGGGTGGGGAGAGCTCGTATGTCTGCGTGTCAGTCTGCAACTCTCTGGCTTCTCCTCTGTAGCCCTTGGCGCATAGGACTAATTTTGTCCTCAAGGTGCATAAACATGGGTTTTTGTGAGACCTTCAAATATTTCTATTGATGAATTATTTTATGAGTTTGATTATATTAAACAATGAGTAACAGGCAAAAATCAGAAGTTACTGAGTTAATATTTTTTATTAAAAAATTAAGAGATTAAGATAAAAGAGGACATAACATAACACAAGTCAGAACAGAACACTTTAAGCAACATAGTGTTTCACCACAAGATAACCCCACATTAACAGTAGTTACCATTGTGTCTCTTTCCTTGAAATATTTGAGTATAACTTTGTATACTATAACATCAAACATAACATGACAGTGTAGAACCATTCAAGAGATTAAAGTATTACAGGGTATTTAGAACCAACTAACAGAAAACAAATAATGGTTTCTATATTATCTCCTTGTCTATAAAAAATTTTGTTTATATCACATATAATAAAATCCAATAAGATACAACATGATAAAACCGATGGAGACAGAACAAAAGCTTGATGAAGCTTCAAAACAAGATGATATTAAATCAGCACTAGCTATTATATTGTCTTGTTTTCTTCAAAATAACTGTTCATACCATCACAGACAATAAAATCAAACAACCCAGAATAAAACCATCCAAATAATGAAAACATTATAAGGCTTCAAGGCAATATAATGGGGAATTATGATTACCACATACTTTTATGTATTCTTAATATTCCTAGGGAAACTATTTGGTATTTATACACATGAGTTTGATTTACTTATGAGTATGATCTCAAGTTGCGCCTATTTATTTACATATATTTCAATGTGATCATTCTTTATAGCTGAGTAGTACTCTATTGAATAAAAATACCACAACTTTTTTATCCATTCCTCAGTTAATGGGCACTTAGGTTGTTTCCAAGATCTGGCTATTACAAATTGTGCTGCTATAAACATGGGTGCACATATATCACTGTGGTATGATGTTTTCAGTTCTGGCAATATGCCTAGAAGTGAGATAGCTGGACCAAATGGGACTTCCAGTCCCAGCTTTTTGAGAAATCTCCAGACTGACCTCCACAATGGTTGCACCAGTCCACATTCCCACCAACAGTGCAGGAGAGTTCCTTTTTCCCCACAGCCTCTCCAGCATTTGTTGGTGGTTTTCTTGATCCTAGCCATTCTTTCAGGAGTGAGATGAAATCTCAGTGTGGTTTTAATTTGCATTTCTCTAATGAGTAATGATGATGAACATTTTTTCATGTATTTATTTGCCATTTGTATTTCTTCACCTGAAAATTGTGTATTCATCTCAGCTGCCCATTTTTGGATTGGATCTTTGAATTTTGGGGGTCTGATTTTTTTAAATTCTTTATATGTTTTAAACAGAAGTCCTTTGTCTGAGGGACAGTTCACTAAGATTTTTTTACCGGTTTGTGGGTTTTCTTTTCACTATGCTGGAGATTTCTTTTAACATGCAGAAACTTTTTAATAAGAGGTGATCCCAGTTATTGATTCTGGGAAGTATTTCCTGTGCAGTTTGAGTCCTGTTCATGAATTCTCTACCTACCCCTATGTCTTCAAGGTTTTTACCCATTTGTCTTCCAATAGATATAGTGTTTCTGTTTTAATATTCAGATATTTGATCCATTTAGATTTTAATTTAGTACATAGTGATAGGCATGGGTCTAGTTTTAGTTTTTGGCATATGGAGAGCCAGTTTTTCCAACACCATTTATTAAAGAGACTGTCATTCTTCCAGTGAACATGTTTAGCCCTTTTATCAAAGATAAAATGGTTGAGTGTGTTTGTAGTTGTAGTTGTATCTTCTAATCTATTCCATTGATCTTCAGCTCTGTTTTTATTCCAGTACAATGTTGATTTTACTACAGTTGCTTATAGTATAACTTCAGGTCAGGGATTGTGATGCCTCCTGCCTTGCCTTTGCTGCTTAGAACTTCTTTGCTATTCTAGGTCTCTTCTGGTTCCAGATGAATTTGAGGAGTAATTTCTCTAGATCTATGAGGTATGTTGATGGTATTTTTATTGGGATTGCATTGAATCTGTATAACAGTTTTGGGAGAATGGCCATTTTCACAATATTTATTCTTCCTATCCATGAGCAAGGGATGTCTTCCCATTTTCTGAGATCCCCTTCAATTTCTTTTTTCAGTGTATTATAATTTTCCCTATCTAGATCTTTCACTTCTTTCATGAGAATAATTCCTAAATATTTCATTTTTTTGGTTGCTAGTGTGAAGGGTGCGGCTTCTCTTATTTCTCTCTCTGTGATTTTGTTGTTAGTGTATAGGAATGCTATTGATTTTTGAATATTGGTTTTGTATCCAGCTGCATTGCTGAATTTATTTATTATATCTAGGAGGCTTTCAATGGAGTTTTCAGGGTCTTCTATCATGTCATCTGCAAATAATGATAATTTAACTTCTTCTCTTCCTATCTTTACCCCTTTTATTTCTCTCTCTTGTCTAATTGCTCTGGCTAGTATTTCCAGTACTATATTAAATAGGAGCGGTGATAAGGGACATCCTTGTCTTATGTCTGATTTTAAGGTAAAGGCCTTCAGTTTTGGGCCATTTAGTATGATACTGACTGTTGGTTTGTCAAAGATGGCCTTTATTATATTGAGATAAAGACCATCTATTGCAATTTTCTGTAAGATTCTTATCATAAATGCATGTTGGACCTTATCAAAAGCTTTTTCTGCATCTATAGAAATGATCATGTGATTCTTACTTTTGGCTTTATTGATATGGTAGATTACATTTATTGATTTATGTATGTTGAACCATCCCTGCATGCCTGGGATGAATCCCACTTGGTCATGGTGTATAATCTTCTTGATGATTTGCTGCATCCTATTTGCCAATATTTTATTGAGGACTTTTGCATCTATGTTCATTAGGAAGATTGGCCTGTAGTTCTCTTTTTTAGTTGGGTCTTTCTCAGGTTTTGGTACTAGAGTAATGTTTGCTTCCAGGAATGACTTAGGAAGGCTTGCTTCCCTTTCAGTTTCATTGAAGAGTTTGAGGAGTGTCGGCATTAAGTCTTCTTTGTATTTCTTGTAGAATTCTGCAGTGAATCTGTTTGGGCCTGGGCTCTTCTTTGTAGGTAAGGACTTAATTACATTTTCAATTTCATTAATAGAGATTGGGTTATTCAGCAGTTTTACATCTTCTTGACCTAGCTTTGGCACTTCATATGTTTCTAGAAGTCTGTCTATTTCTTCTGTGTTATCAAACCTATGAGAGTAGAGTTTTTCGAAATAGGTATTGATGATCTTCTGTTTTCTACAGCGTCTGTAGTGATTTCACCTTTTTCATTCCTTATTTCATGAATTTTAGCTTTTTCTTCCCTTTTTTTAAATAAGGTTGGCTAGGGGCTTATCAATTTTATTTATTCTTTCAAAGAACCAACTCTTTGATTAATTGATTCTTTGGATTGTTTTCTTAGTCTCTATTGCATTAATTTCTGCTCTGATTTTTATAATTTCCTCCCTTCTTTTGGCTGTGGGCTTGACTTGCTCTTCTTTTTCTAGGTGTTTGAGGTGTAGCATCAAGTTATTTATTTGTATTCGTTCTGTTTTCCTAATGTGGGAATTCAGTGCAATAAATTTTCCCCTGAGGACAGCTTTCATTTCATCCCACAGTTGTAAGTTGTATTTTCGTTTGCTTGTAGGTATTGTCTAATTTCTTCTTTAATTTCCCCTGTGACCGACTGATATACTCAACAGTGTGTTATTCAATTTCCATGTGTTTGTGGGATTTTTGCTGTATCTTTTATCATTAATTTTTAATTTCATGGCTCTATGATCCGATAACATGCATGGAATGATTTCAACTCTTTTGCATTTATTTAAGTGTGTTCTGTGGGCTAATATATGGTCTATTTTAGAGAATGTCCCATGTACTGCTGAGAAGAATGTGTATTCTGAGGTTGTTGGATGAAACACTCTGTATATATCTATCAAGTCCATTTTGGTCACATGTGTGATTCAGTTCTGTTACTTCTTTGCTGATTTTCTGTCTGGTTGATCTGTCCCTTGGTTTCAATGGTGTGTTAAGGTCTCCTGTTACAATTCTGTTACTGCTAATTTGGTTTTTCATTTCTGTTAATACTTGCTTTATATAACTGGGTGCTCTGGAGTTTGGTGCATACATATTTAAGATTGTTATCGCTTCCTCTTGAAGTTTTCCCCTAACTAGTATATAATGACCTTCTTTATCTCTTCTGATCGTTCTTGATTTGAAGTTCACATTGTCTGCAAACAGAATAGCTACCCCCGCTTTCTTTTGGGTTCCTGTTGCATGAAGTATTGTTTTCCAGCTTTTGACTTTCTGTCTGTGAGTATTCTGTGAGCACCCAGTTATATAAAGCAAGTATTAACAGAAATTAAAAAACAAATTAGCAGTAACAGAATTATAACAAGAGACCTTAACACACCATTGATACCAAGGGACAGATCAACCAGACAGAAAATCGGCAAAGAAATAACAGAACTGAATCACAGTTAGGGTAGATGGGTTTCTTGTAGACAGCGTATGGTTGGATGTTGTTTCTTAATCCATTCTGCCAGCCTGTTTCTTTTAATTGGTGCATTGAGACCATTTACATTAATGGTTATAACTTTTATATGTTGGTTTATTATTGACATGTTATCTCTCTGCTGTTGAATCTTTATTTTCTGTTCTGTTTGTCTGCTTTGCTTAGTGGTTTTTTCCTAAGTGTATCTAAACTGTCTTTCAGTATTCTTTGCAGGGTTGGTTTGGTGATCATGAAGTTCTTCAGTTGTTCTTAGTCATGGAAGTACCTTATTTCTGCATCAATTTTGAAGGACAGTTTTTCAGGGTACATCAGTGTAGGTTTGAAATCATTTTCCTTTAGGATCTGAAATACTGCACTCCATGCTCTTCTTGACTTCATTATTTGTGCTGAGAAGTCTGCTGTGATTCTGTTGGGTTTTCCTTTATAGGTGATCTGTCTTTTCTCTCTGACAGCTTTTAATATTATATTCTTGTGTTGGATTTCTGGGATGGTGATTATTATATGTCTGGGTGTAGTTTTATTTTGGTTATGGCTATTTGGAGTTCTCTATGCTTCACTAATCCTGATGTCAGTTTCCATTCTCACGTTTGGGCAATTTTCAGCTATTACTTCTCTAAATATCCTCTTGACATCCTTTATGTTGTCCCTTCTTTTTCATTTATCCTTGTCAATCATATGTTGGTTTTCTTTGCATCATTTTACAGCTATTGAATTGTTATTTCCTGATTCCTTGTTATTTTAAAAAGATTTTTCCTTTCCTGTTTACTAGCTGCAATCTTATCTTCAAGGTCTGAAATTCTGTCTTCACTTTCATCGAGGTAGTTTTTAAAACTTTCAATGGAATTTTTGATTTCCTGTATATTTCTTTGCATCTGCTTTATGTATTCTGTTTGTTTCTTACATTGTTCATCCAGGGATTCTACCTTTTTGTTAGTTCCTCCAATTTTTTAACTGTGTCTTCTTTAGATATGTTCATCATCTCTTTCATTTCTTTTATCATTTCTTCTTTTACCTGGGAGATTATTTCTAGTTTGAATTCCTTTAAAGCTTCCCAGAGTTGCTTCTATATTTCTGCTATTATTTCAAGTATTTCAGGTGTATGGCATATATTTTCTTCTAAGTACATAGCTCCTGAGGTTTCTTGGCATAGGCTGTAGGTTTCAGATTGCATTTTGGTCTTTCGCTTTGTCATTTTCCTATATTTCTGTGTTTCAAGTGTTGTTCTAGTGGATGTGTTGGAAATTGTTTCCTGTGCCTTAGGCTCCTGGGATTGAATGGAGGTTGCTGAACCTGGTCCAGTTAGGCCCTCAGGCCCTCCTATGCCACCTTTAGTGTTCCAGGTAGCTGGGCAGGCACCTAACCACTGTGGATGATGGGCTAAAGCTCTCCCCTGGCAAAGACCAATGCCCTGGAATTCACTTCACCTGCTCTCAAATCCCCGTAATTGAAGAAGGTCACTGGGTGTAATATAGTTAGTCCACAAAACCTCCCAAGGCTAGTCTAGTGTGGCTGGGCTCTGGGCAGGTCCTTGAGCTCTAGAAGAGATGATCTTAACGTCTCCTAGGGTGGCGTGCAGCCTTAGCCCTGCCGCCAGCTGAGTTTCTTGGTTTGGGAGAAGGTCACTGGGCATGTCCTGGGCAGGCCTGAAACCTGCCAAGATCAGCCTAGTGTAGCTGGGCTCTGGGCAGGTCCTTGGGCTCTGGAAGAGATGATCTTAAAGTCTCCCGGGGCTCAGGATGGCCCGTGGACTTACCCCAGCTTCCAGCTGAGTTTTCCAGTTTGGGAGAAGGTCCTTTTAATATTTATTAAAAAGCATCAAGTTTTTCAACATCGACTGGTCTAGAAAAGAATATTAGAAATAAATTCCTATGTGCACTGCAACAAAAATACCAGCAGCACTCCACAAAAAAAGTAGTCTTCGGCTATCACACCTTAAAGCACATTCTATACACAGATTGCTTACATTGACAGCACATGTGTTTTTGCTTTTCTGACTTTGTAAGATATACTTGACATCTCAGTGATCTTGCTCTTTTGTCAGGGGGTTTTTAATTATACAATGTGTAGTTAACAGGAACATGAAATATCAGTAAAGCAAGTTACTAAATTTTTAATATGTGTTGTGTGTTTAGAATAGACATCATTTTCACATCAGCTGTTTCCCTATAAAGCCTAAAAGATAACATCAGAAGTAAAAACCTATGTGAACTACCATGTAAACACAAAAGTCCATCACAGAAATCAGCTTTGCTTCAACTGTCACACCCAAAGCAGTCTTCATACATGACAGCTGCTTGTTCCGTGCCCAACTATCATGTACACTGATAGCACACATGTTCTGTGTCCCTGTCCCTTCCTGCAGGGCACAGTTGACATCTTTTTGTTTTCCTGTTGTCATTGTAGGTCTCTGTGATGACCATCAACTCACCAATGTGCTCCACAATTTTTTGCATGGTTCCCTGTGTAGAAACATTTTGTTTTTCCTCTGTGGCAAATGATCTCTACTCCCCACCCTCTAAGAAGATTTCTCCGTGATATTTCATACTTCCCACTTTTTTGGTAAACTATCAAACTATTTATGCCACACATCTAGGATCAAGTATAACACAACCACTGGCCAATGCTTTGTGTTCCGAGTGACGTCATAGTTGCTGCATAATTCATGAACAACATCTACTCTGCCTTTTCTTGTGTTGTAGAAAGTTCTCAGCTCAGGCTTCTATTTTGTTGAAGTTCCCCTATCAGTATTGCCATCATGGTGAAATGTTGACATCAGCCATACCACCTTGTTTTTCTTTGCCATATACAATGCCAATGTCATATCTTTCTGAAATTCAAAGATTGTACTGTACAATTCTCTGGGTTTTAAAAATTTTTTTATTTTAAAGAGAATAAAACAAAAGAGAACAAAACAAAGCAAACCAGAACAGAACAATACAAGCAACACAGTACTTCACAACAAGACAACCGGACATCAGCTGTAGGTACCATAATGTCTCTTTTTTCTTCAAAATAGATGAGCATAGCTTCACACATATTAATATCAAACATAACAATATAGTATAAAATCATTCAAAAGAATGAAAGCATCACAGGACTTCAAAACCAAATAACAGGAAATGAACAATGGCTACTATAATATCTCACTTTCCTCAAAAAATTTTGTCTATACCATCACATAATAAAAATCAAAACACAATAGGATAAAAACCAATCAAAGCAGAACAAAAGCATGGTAGGACTTCAAAGCAAGATGATAGTAAATCAGCAGTGGCTACCATAATGTCTTGTTTTCTTCAAAACAGCTATTCATACCATTACACATAATAAAATAAAACAAAACAATAAAACCAATCAAACAAATGAAAGCATTATAAGACTTCAAAGCAATATAATAGGAAACCAGGATTACCATAATATATCCCATTATATTCAAAATAACTGCCCCTACCATCTGACAGCATAGAACCTAACAAGACAGAACAAAGCCAAACCTAACAAAACTATGTAAACAATGCAAGAGTTCAAGATAAGACAATAAAAAATTGACAGTAGTTTCCACCTTCCCCTCCCAGGTATTTCCTCCCCTTTGCTCTTACATTAACTGTTTTGCTTTTGGATCCCATTAATGCCTTCTGTTTCTTATGTTAGGGTTCACACGTATGAGTTCGAACTGTTTCAGCCATGAGCATGATCTCCAGTTGTGTCCACTTACCTACAGGAGCCTTGAGATTATTCTACTTTATAGATGGGTAGCTTTCCATTGCATGAAAATACCATAACTTTCTTATCCATTCTGTGGTTGATGGGCAAGGTACTCTTTTTTTTTTTTTTTTTTTTTTTGGTCTCCTGTCACATGGAACAATTGTTTTCTCTCCTTTCATTTTCGGTCTATGAATTTCCTTTTTAGTATACAGAATATCGATAGGTCTTGTTTCCTGATCCATTCTGTGTTTCTTTTTATTGCTGTAGTGAGGCCATCTACATTAATGGTTACAACCAGCATACATTGGTTTGTCTCTGCCCTCCTATCCTCCAGTTGTTGGCCCTCCACTTTTCCCCTTCATTCAGTTGCCTGTCTTGTTTGGTGATCCTCCTCTGTGCTGTTCCTGGAACCATGATCAGCTTTATCTCTTTCTATAATATCCTTTAGCACTCTCTGTAGGGTTGGTTCGGTAGTCATGAATTCCTTCAGTTGTTCTTTATCATGGAAGTATATTATTTTCCGTCAATTTTAAAAGATGGTTTTGCAGGGTAGATCAATCTGAATTGGAAGTTGTTTCCTTTAGGGTTTGAAACACTTCACTCCAAACTCTTGACTTGATGGTTTGTATTGACAAGTCTGCTGTGATTCTGATTGGTTTTCCTTTATAGGTGATCTGTGTCTTTTCTCTAACAGCTTTAATATTCTGTTCTTGTGCTGAATTTCTGGGATCTTGATTATTATATGTCTGGGTGTAGATTTACTTTGGTTATGGCTAGTTGGAGTCCTATATGCCTCACTTGTCTGCATGCCAGATCCATTTCCCATGCTTGGCAAGTTTTCTTTTATTACTTCTGTGAATATCCTTTTAATTTCATTTGTGTTGACTCCTGCATTTTCACCTACACCTATCACTCTTAAGTTATACTTCTTTGCATCATCTTGCAGCCATTGGATTGTTATTTCCTGATTCCTTGTTCTTTTAAGAGATCTTTCCTTTTACAATCACTAGCTGCAATCCTATCTTCAAAGTTTGAAAGTCTATCTTCAGTCTTTTTCAAGTGGGTTTGCCAGCTTTCGATTGAATTTTTAATTCCCTGAATTTTTCTTTGAAGCTGTTGCATGCATTGTAATCCCTTTCTACATTGATTCAAGGTTTCCATCATTTTCCTTTGCTCCTCTTTATTGTCTGTCTTATTTAGACCTGCTGAACAATTCTTTCAGTATGTTTATGATTTCTTCTTTTGCCTGAGACATTATTTCTGATTTGACTGCTTTTATAATCTCATAAAGTTGTTTCCTTACTTCAGTTGCTATCATCTCAGAGATTTCAGGTATGTGACTTCTGTTTTCTTCCATAACTGTATCTCCCAGACTTATTCTGTGTCTTAGTTTGCCTTTTGCTCCTTCTTGACATTCTCCTAGATTCCTCCCAACAAGCTGGTTGTGGGATCCCAAGTGCTTTCCATGTTGGCTGCCCCAGGCAGTGTAGGGGGATGGGACAGGCACCTGTGTTCCTCTAATTCCAGATTTACAGAGAGATAGCAGGGTGTGGGGCAGGCCTCTCTAGACCTATGCAGCTACACTGTGATGATCAGGGGTACATATAGGTGGGGCTGCTTCTCTTAGCCTGTGTGTCTACACTGGGACTCCCACAATGGTAGCAGACACACAGGAGTGTGTTTGATTCAGCTAGTGGGTGATGGCTGCCTGAGGGAACCAAGGGCCTCCAATGGTGGCCTACAGATACTCATAGGGCTTACCTGGCTGTGTGTCCCTGCTCCTGCTGGCTGCCTGCATGAAGGAGCCTTCTGGTGGCAGCTCCCTGAGGGTGAAGATGGATCTGCTGCCCATGCTGGCCACCTGCAGGATGTGGCCTTTTAGTGGCAGCACACAACAGGCAATGGTGAATCTGTCTGTCTCCTTCAACCCACACTGGGCGCACCAAAGAATGAGCCTTCAGGTGGCAGCACTCAGCAGGCTGAGGCCAATCTCCTGGTTCTTTTGACCCACACTGGGTGCACAGGAGCAAGGGCCTTCTGGTGGCGTCACCTGGCAGGCAGAGGCCGGTCTCCCAGTTCTCTGTTTTGAAATTGCAATATTTCAGCCAGGCATGGTGGCACATGCCTGTAATACCATCACTTGGAAGGATGAAGCAGGAGAACTGCTATGAGTTCAAGGCCAGCCTTGGCTACAAAGTGAGTTGAAGGTCAACCTGAACTGCATAATGAGACCCTGGCTCAAAAAGAAAAAAGAAGGAAGAGGAGGACGAGGAAGAAAAAGAAGAAATTGCAACATTTTTTCAGAAGTTATACTTCCTTTCTTGGGTACAGTTCTTGCCTTGGTCAACTTGTGCTGTGCTAGCAAATGTAACATGGATTAGAAACCAGTAAACCATGTTGAATGTCACATTCTGATTAGTTTGGGAGGTGGGAGCAGCCAGTCTGTTCACATCATCATTCAGTTTATTACTGTATAAATAAGGATCTGATGGCTGAGTCCCAGGACACATGTCTGAACGGAGAGCTTAGTAAGTCTTCGCATCTATAAGGGCACAGATTTTTATATCACATTTTGACCTGTCACTTTTCCATGTCCTTTATATTCCTGCAATCACATAAGAATTCAGTGCCAAGTACAGCAGACCTATGAATGCTTTCAGTTCAGCTAGTGTCATAACAGTACATTTTTAAATATGGCTATTGGTGCATACAGAATGTTTTACTTGCATTTCAGCCTTGGTGTATTTCATGGCATCTTGTAGCATTTCATCTGTTATAATTTCCAACACTGAATGGCAGTGCTGCCATTCTGTCCAATACCTTTCGTCCCTGCCAAGACCCTCACTGTATATTCAGACCTAGGTCTAACATTGGATCATTCCATTTGGATTTGTGATCATTTTGCACATTTTCCCTAGTCAAACATGGACTCACATTGCTGTTTATTTTTGTCCTCTGCATCAAGGAGGACTGCAGTACCTGTTTATGAGTCAGTCGATTCTTGCTTCGTTTCACTGTCACACAAACTTTGGCTCATATGGCAGGTGTCAAGTCACCATTGTCGTCCATCCGTGTCCCCCTTCTGCTGTGAAGGCGTATGTTTTACCACAATGAATCATTTGCACAAGCAGTCTAATGATTCACTTCCGAGTCCTCCAAAACTTGCAAATCTCGCCTTTCATGTGCTATTGTACTGAACTGAGCTAGTTCTACCAGAAAAATCAGAAGAAAACTTTTTTAAAAAAATAAATCCTGGAGTAGTATGGGTCTGTTGGACCCTCGGCAATGCTTGGGTAAACATACACAAAACCAGTCAGCTGGAGGATAATGGTGGGGGCCAAACTTTTGCACAGGTGTACACTCCTTGTTGTTCATCATACCAAGTGAGTATAAACGCAAATTGCTTCCTGTATCCTCAGGAAAGGTACTGAGACAGCCAGCTACTGTTACCCTAAAGGATGGATTTATAGTAAAAAAGAATGGGCCCCACTGAACCTAGGCTGATGTTCCAAAGCCATTAAGATTCGATCAAGCATTATTCAGGCTCCCTCCTACTGTGATCCACAGGCTCCATCTCCAAACACTGTGCTTGGACTGGTTCCTCCTCTCAACTCCTGCCAGTGCAGGAAGCTGCATGTGCTCAGTCCCTGCCCAAAACACAGCACTGCAGGAAGCACCAGGCACTGAGGCTGTCACTGGCAGCATGGCACAGGGAGGCATGGCCATCACCTCATCCCGTCCTTCCGAAGGTCTCTGCTGCCCGTTACCCGTGGCCTGGTCTACTGGCCCAGCATTTGTCTGCACTTTGTCCTGATGCTCTGTCTGCCACACTGGTCCTACTCTACTCAGCCTGCACCATGCATCTTCATGTTCAAAGATGCCGTGGCTGCATCGCAGTGAGACGCAAGTGTGGCCTGAGGTGGGCAGGATGGGTCTGTGTCCTGTGTGGTCTGCAGCTCTACAGGCTGACGCATGTGACTGGCAGCATGCTGCAGGTTCCCTGTCAGCTGCAGGTCTTTAGAGACTTTCTAACGTGAGACTGCTAAGCTCTGTTGTAAGAATGGAAGATCCCAGAAAGTAATGAAACATGAAGCAACTGGAAGCCCCCAACCTGCTGTGCTCCTTCAGATGCTTCATCCTTGCCATTGTTGCTGCTCACTCTCATTTAATTCTGTGAATTCAACAGTGATTCTTGTTAATCCTTTGGAATTAGGTAATAGTTAAGATTTCTCACTATACAAGTTTATAAAGCAAGAGCCAAGGCCCTCCTCACTGCAGCTTTTGCATCCCCCACGTTTCAAGGGTGCCACGCCCAGCTGGGTACCTGGCAGAGCGAGGCCTGGTGGAGGAGCCCAAGTTCAAGGCCAGCCTGGGAGTCATAACGAGACCCTGTCTTAGGATAAAATAAGAAGGGATGGGAGTGCAGCTCTGTAAGCTCTTGGTTTCAATCCCAGTGCTAGAAGGAAAGAAAGATGGAATAGGGTACATTGTATGGCCCATAGCTGGACTCCAGGATTGGTCCAGATGAAGCAGGCATTTCACAGCAGGAGGACACCAGCAGGCCTGGACACAGGAACTTGTACAGGCTGAGAGTCTTTAAGACCATCTGGAGTGCACCAGCATGTCCAAAGTGCTCGTGATGGTATGCAGAAGACCTGAGTTCAAATCCAGGTTACACCTATGCCTTTTCCACTTTACCACACCAGGATTTTGACTTTGTTCCATTATTTTCCACCAAGAATTTTTCATCCCTTAGAAATGCAGTTTATAACTATCCAGGTGATAAGCAATAAATACAGTAAAACAGTGTCTGTGAATCACTGGGGAGAAATGGAATATGAGTTTGATTTTAAAAATCAGACTCAAAATAAAAACCTTTGAGAAGAAAAACCCTAAAGCAACTCACAGGCTGTTCACCTCAGCACACTGTCAGGGGGCAGGTGGGTACCACTGAGGGAAGTGTGGGGAACATGTATTCTTGAGTATCTTATAATTGGATGTTTTTCAAGTCTTTTCCAGACCATTTGCATTCCACTGTTTGTTGTCCTTTCTGATTCATAAATTTTCCCATTCCAACTAAGTCCCTGCAGAAGTGACATCCTCTTCTCTCTAGGTTTCACTTGCAACCACTCATGAAAGTTGTGCTGCTTCCTTACTCAAGAAATGGTCCGGCTAGCATGGTGTGCACACCCACATCCCAGCATTCTACAGGCTGAGGCAGGAGGATTGCTGTGAGTTCAAGGCCAGCCTGGGCTACGCAATGAATGTAAGGCCAGGCTGAACTGCATAGCAGGACCCTGTCTCAAAAAAAAGTGGGGAGTGATCTGTGATCCTAGCTTCACTCATACAAATTACTACTTACCTTGGATTTGGGGTACTATCTCACTTGATTTCTGAGCTGGTTTTTCTATCTCTTGATGGAATAGACTTTCATTGAAAAGATACACAATGTGATAGAAAAACATGCTGAATGCTGAATCTCTTAAAAATTACCACAGTGTAGTCAGGGTCTTAGCAGCTAAAGTGCTTGCCTGGTTAAGTGCAAAGTACCAAAAATAAATAAATACATAAATAACTACAGTGTAAAATAACAACCTTAGTTATGTTCCTATACTTTGTTTTGAAGGCCTATATTGTCATTGTTTGAGGCTCCTTGCTATTATTTATCTTTTTTGCTTCTTGTTTTTTAGTAATTTGTTTTTCCCTCTAATGCAGAAAGGATAGGCATACATGTAGAGGCTTATACATGTCTAGAACTTCTCCTAAACAGTTTATGAGACTTGATTGTAATATGCGTGATGAAATGAACAGCTGCTTTGAAGAGACATTATAATATCCATTGCTGATTCCATGTCGTCATGCTGTGAAATCCAGTAGTTATTTTATTCTTTGTTTAGAGTGGTTTTAGTCTGTTTTGTATTATTTAATTTCAACATATATAAAGGTATGGACAGCTATTTTGAAGTGAACAAGAGACATTATGTTGACCATTATTGATTTTCCTATTGTCTGGTTTTGAAAGCCTATGTCTTCATCACTCTGTTCTGATCAGTTTTATACTATTTTGTTTTGTATGAATTCATTGTGTGAAAATATAGACAACTATTTAGAAGAAAACAAGAGACATTATGGTAGCCACTGTAGATCTCTTGTCGTCTAGCTTTGAAATCTGTGTCACTTACATTGTTTTCTTCTGGTCTACTTTGTTGTTATGGTTTATTTTGTCCTGTAAAAATAAATTTTAAAAAATTATTACAGTAAAAGACACACTGCCGCTAATCTCCCTCAGAACCCTCCCCTTTGCACACACTCATCCCATGGGTCTCCCCACTCTGCCGTCTCTTCTTCCCGGAGGGTCTTTAATTGTGCTGCCCTTGCTGCCTCAACATCCTCACCTGACTCAAAATGCTTCCCTTGCATGGTTATTTAGACTTTAGGGATGAGCCAGAGGTGGCACAGTGCCAGATCTGGTGGCCGAGGCCAAGACCAGGTTTCCAAGCCTGCCTTTCCACTGAATGGTGCTCAGCAGCAGCAATCACTGTTTCTGATCATACCTTGCAAAGACACTGTGGAACCAGGATATCCAGAATGGCTTCAGACACTGGGAAGAATGATGAGGTAAGTGTGTTCAAAGCCAGGGGAATTCATGGCAATGTCTTTCACTGTAGAAATTTTTCTTAAAAACCTTAAAAACATTTACTGTGTTTCCATTACACGTCATGCAGTTTTTGCTGCACCCTTGTAGCACTTACGCTCTTGGCTGGAGAAATTAATGGGGTGAGACATAGCCTCTTTAAGAATCCTATAGATTCTTAACCTAGAGCAACTAAACCAGAAAAAGATCCCTGATTTCTTAAGTCTTCAAATTTTTGTGTAACTGACAAAAACATGCCTCGTGTATCACGCATTGCACCCACCAGGGGGAGCTCTGGTAAAGCAGCAAGTCTAGGATTTTGCCCCAGAAATAAGGAATAGGCCAAGGGCGCTTCCTAGGGTTTTCATCACTGTGGCCAATTATTTACAATTAAATCCAGGGTTCAGTGCCTCCGCTGCACAAGGCACATGTCCAGTAGCAGCACACGGCCAGTGGAGGAACAGCAGCCCCAGGACGAGAGGTACAGGCAACGAAGAAGGTGGGCATCAGGGCAGGACCCCCAGAATCCTCCCACTGTAGGGCAAAGGAAGACTCAACCCAGGAGCCAGAGAAGAAAGAGCTGGAGGAGGAGAGACGCCATGAGAGGCTAACCTAGTCAAGCGCACGGAGAAAGTGCTTCCAGCACTGGGTCTGGGTGCAGCTGCGAACAGACGTCCTTGGTTCGTGATGGCACAGAGCAGTGACACACAGTAGCTTCAGATGGGATGGGTACTGTCCCTGATGCATTTATGTATGTACTACGGCACTGTGGACTGAACCAGAGCCTTCAAACTGAGCCACATCCCCCAAGCTTTTTTCATTTTTTGTTTTGAGACTGGGTCCTGTTAATTTGCTCAGACTTGCCATCCTCCTGCTTCAGCCTCCCAGAGTACTGGGAATACAGGTTATGCGGTACCACAACCAGTGGTGAATCTCCATTAGACTAAAGTCGGCTGCTCAGAAATTCAAGTTTGCCCTCACATGAGTTTCACTGCCTTTCAGGGACAAGTTTTCTCTATCCGAGGGTCACATATACTACGTTTCTCTCTTTGTGTGTCCAATGGATTTTAACCTAGGGTCACAAACACACTCAGGTTCACAAACACAGGCGCAAGATACACACATTCCAGAACAACGGCTCATTATTAAGAACACTGCTGTTCGCTGCCCACTTAGCCTACACAGTGCATTCTTCGTCCTCTCTGTAGCCGAGCTTCAAGGAAGACCATTCTTCCCGGTGTGGATTCGAAGTTTCCCCGCCAGCTCCGTCCGAGACATCTCAAAGAAGCTGTCAAGCAGCTGGCTTCCCCAGGCTTTCATTTGGACACCGTACTTCCTCTTCCTCCCGGAGATGCGGACCTGCCTGAGCCTCGATGGCTCCCGCCCTGGCCGTCACGCAGGTCTCGGCCTGCGCCTCTGCCCCGGAACTGCCTCCGCTATCTTCGGCTTTCTGCTAGTTGAGCTCCTACAGGCCGCTGAGAGCTGGGTGAAGCACCGCGGGACCCGGTGGCCGTCCCCTTCCCGGGCGCTGGCCTGTCTGAGCAGGAAAGGGGACCTTCACAGGGTGAGGACAAGCGCTGCGCGGGACGCTGCACCGCGGACCCACGCAGAGCGCGTTCGGCCTCCCCTAGGCCGTGACCGAGGACGGGGAGGTGCGGAGGGGACGCGGAGGGCGGGGCGGGGCGGGAAGAGAGAGAGGGACGCGGGGAGACTGATGACGTGGAAACAGAGGTTCCCAGGACAGAAAGCAAAGGATGGGAAGGATGGGCGGTGCAGCTCTGGAACTACAATTCCCAGGAAGCTTGGGAGTGCGCGAGGCGGCCGCAACCGGATGTGCAGCGAACCCCGGGCGGATGTGAGCCTGACCCTCGCCAGATATGACGCTCTCCCTGGCCAGATGTGAGGCGATCCCGGGTGGATGTGAGGCAGCCTGAACCGGATGTGAAGGGCCTCCAGGCGGAAGTGGAGCTGTCCTGAGCGGAAGTGAGGCTAGCGTGCGCCGCGGCCTTTGAAGGGAAGAGGAAGTGCTTCGGGGTCTCGCGGCTGGAGGGACTAGTTGGCCAGGTTGGGGCGCGGCGAAGGCCGCGAGGTCGCAGGTCGCGGCGTCAGTGGCAGCGGCCACCTCCGAGGCGCTACCCGAGGTGGGAAGGGGGCAGCGGCGGCCCCCGTCTTCGCGACTCGCCCGCAGAGGAAGCACAATGTCCGCTGAGGTGCCCGAGGCGGCATCGGCCGAGGAGCAGAAGGTGAGCGTGGCGGGAAAGGGCCTGGGCTGGCGCGCGGGGTCCCCAGCTGGTATCTGAGGTGCCGTGCGCGGCGCCCCAGTCGGCCAGAGCTCGAGCGGCTCTGAACCTCCCTTCATTCGAGAAGTTCGCGTTTCCAGCAAGCAGGCCTCTGCGTAGAGCCGGTCGGGCTTCGGGCCAGGCGGGACCCGGGGTTCTGAGGACCGGTCCCGGGACCGTGGCGTGTGCCGCGAACTGGGAGGCCGCTCTCCGGTGTGGGCACCGAGCGCCCATCCTGCTGTGGGCGGATGCTGCCCACCCCGGCCTTCCGCCGCCCTGCCCTCCGGGGACCCGGCGCGGACGAGGAGACTGGAAAGTCCGCGGCGGCGCCTCCGGAAAAGTGATGGGCCGAGGAGGCTTCTCTTACAGGCCAGACAGCTTCACAAACACCGCAGGCATCGCTGATGGTTGGACTCAGGCCTGAATCCGGAGGATGAGGTTTAGATCCAATCCATATGTGCTAACTTTAACACATGAGTCGGATGGTATTGCCGTGTTACTCGCTAATTGAAGAAGCTGCTAGCATAAGTAATAGGCCAGGAATATTCTGGAATATTCCAGTGAAAGTTATTGGACATCTTTTTAACACTTTGCAAAAAGAAAAATGGTCTATTGCTGCAAAAAAAATTGTATATACAGCTTGAACATTTCTTTATCAGTAGTTTTAAGTCACTTATTTATTGTATAATAATTTATTGCAATGTTCATTATTGTTTCAGATTTAGAACTCAGTAAATAACAAGTCCACAGTTACAATGTCTTGTTAAATACTAAAATCACGGGCACATAATAATGCACTAAGTCCTTTAAGACTGGTTAGTGTAAGAATAAAATGTGAATTTCAAGTGGAAAGGCTTTCATTGGAACAGTCTAATGTATTTCTTAATACTAAAGTTAGTGTAAATATTTTGAGGATTGTATTAAACATTGATCTGGGTCCTAGATTTTACCTGCAGTCAATACCAAGTGTTTTGGGAATATAGTGTCTTTTGCTTGAAGATTGGCTGCAGATGTCCAGGTGACCTGGATACCACCCCAGATGAGAGGAAATGTGCATAGTCATGTCCATGCCCTGTGGGCCAGATCACCTGTTTCTTCTGTTTGGAAGAACAGTTAGATGACCTGAAAAATTGTGTTATTATCTGTGTACCTAATTGACCTTTCAGTCAAAGCCAAAGTACTCAGCTAAAAATACTTCCATGACTTATGCTGGGTTAGCCTGTTGCCTCAGAAAAATAGAGGTGACAAGTTGGAGCTGTCAGGGAGTCAGGCAGGTCCCGTTTCTGTGCGAGTATAGTGTGTGCACCCACGATCAAGGGAGGAGTCAGACAGGCCTCTCTATATTTTGTTGGATAGTAATTAAATATGCACAATGTTTTTTAAGCTCTCATCCCTTAACCTTTACACCACTTTTATTTTTTTTTTTATTTTTTTTTTTTTATTTAAGAGGAAAAAGAGAAAAACACAAAACAAACCAAAGTGGCGTAAGGGTACACGCAATACAGAACTACAAAACAAAACAAAACAAAACGAAACAAAAAACCATAACAGTAAGAAATTACCTGCTAGTAGAATTTACACCACTTTTAAAAAGTGAAATACAGATGAGGCCATTTCATGTGGCTGGTATTTTGTTAAACCGAGTCTCCAAGGTACTGAGTATATGGGAGGAGCAGCTGAAGGATAGGCCTTTTGGGAGTGGCATGAGGACTCTTCTAGGCCATATGGTGACTCAGTTTCTTTCAGAGTGAGCTCTGAGATCACCCTGTCACAGAAATGGCATCATTTTGGGGGCTGGGGATTTAGCTCAGCGGCATAAGCGCCTGCCTTGCAAGCAGGCGGTCGTGAGTTCGATCCCTGGTACCGATAAAAAGGAAAAAGACCAAAAAAAAAAAAAAGAAATGGCATCATTTTAAACTGGCTCCCTTCTTTCACTGTCCTAGACAGTTAAGAGTCACTGGACAATTAGTCACTTTAGTCCTGAATCTGAGATACTGCTCAGAGAGGAAAGGTGGTTCAGAGCCATCAGGTTTGTATGTGCTGTTCTTGTTGATGACTACTGAATGGAAACAAAACGCTGAGAAGTTTCAGAAGGGGCCTCGTGGTTCTGTCAGTGAGAATTTGAGTTCATGAGCTCTGAGCTCAGAGTGGGCAGTGTTCTAGTTCTGGAGCCAGAAGCAGAACTGCAAAATGACTGGTGTGGCTCCTTTAGGGCAGCCTGAAGGCAGGGTCCCAGCTCTGGGTCTCTGCCTCTAAGTCATCCAGCACAGGGCTCAGCACTGCTCTGAAGCTGTGGGCTCCAAGCCTTTCTCACAAAGCCTCCCCAGGTTGTCTTCCCAGACAAATAGCAGTGAAAAAAGACACACAGGCTGGCGACGTGATCTAGAACCATAGCTTAGGCGCAGCTTGGAAAGCCAAGAGGTGTATGTGAGTGTGAAAGAGAGAGAGATTGCAGCTTGCAATTTTTGATAATTTCAGTAGCGGGTTTTCTAGAGGTTTTACTATACGTCAAACTAACTTGGAAAGAAAGGGTAATAGAGATGTCAATTAAAATATTTCTGTTACTTAAAAGTATGCAGCTTTTGTGCCTGGCGGAAGAGGAAGAGAGCTACCATATTGCTTGAATTATAGTCATGTGCTGCATAGGAGTGGTTAAGTACAGAACTGAATCCTGCTCCTATCCTGCAGTCTCTCAGAGAAGCCCAGGACAGGGATGGTGCTGGCCAAATGTCAGGAGACTGAAATTGGCTCCAGCGCCACATGGCTGGTGACCTCAGGCAACTCCTGGGTTTCCTTTGGGTAATGGGGTGGGTCTGCCTGGATGATGGTCACAGGATGGAGCCCAACCTTCTGGGCCTCAGAAAAATAGAGGTGACAAGTTAGAGCTGTCAGGGAGTCAGAGCCAGGTCCCATTTCTGTGCAAGTGTAGTGTGTGCACCCATGATCAAGGGAGGAGTCAGACAGGCCTCTCTATATTTTGTTGGATAGTAATTAAATATGCACAATGTTTTTTAAGCTGTCATCCCTTAACTTTTATACCACTTTTAAAAAGTCCTGTCACCGTCTCCTGCCTGTCTTCTGAGCTCCTCCTCCTTGTGCCCACCAGATTCATCTCAGTGCTCTCTTCGTCCCTGGACAGAGGCCCATATGCTAAGCCCATATGTGCTGAAAGCCTGTAACCTTTGCATTCCCTACAGCTGTCAGTTCAGGGTCTTGGATAAAGCAGATGGGGTAAAACCAGGCCTGGTGGCATATGTCTATAATCCCAGCACTCAGGATGCTGAGGCAGGAGGATTACCATGAGTTTGAGGCCAGCATGGGCTACACAGTGAGTTCAAGGCCAACCCAAATTATGTAGTGAAACTTTGTATCAAAAAAAAATTTGGTTATTGGAGATGGGAAAATACAAATAGTATTTTAAGCAAGATAGGAATTACTGTCTTTCATGCTGAAGCATTCTGAAGATGCCTAACCTAGGGCTGGGGAGGTGGCCCCAGGAGTCAGGGACCAAGCTCCTTGTGTTCTCAGCACCTCACCAGATTTGGAAAACTTGCAGTTAATACAGGCAGTTCTTGAGGTAGATGTGATGTCTGGTCCTAAGAAGATGCATCCAAGCTTTCTGGCACTGCTGAGAATGACCAAGCGTGGCAGACCTACCTGTGCCATGGTTCTTGGTACTCTGGGGGGAGGAAGCCTGGGAGCTGGAGACGGGCTGTGGCTTATCTCAGCAGTGTGCCCCCATCAGCTGCTCAGCATGGGCCTGGTGTCTGGCAGAACTGAGTGCAAGATGTGCGTGCATTCCAGAGCTGCAGGTCCTGCTGTAACTGAACCTGTGAAGTGTGCAAAAGGTTGCTTAGCTTGCACAAATGTCGGGAAGCATGTGGCTCTGCTCCTTCAGTGGACTTTGATGGGCAGGCAGGAAGGATCCAAAGCTCTGGTGGTACCTACCACCCAGCCCAGGCCTTCTGGGCAGTGTCAGATCTGCAGGCTGCTCTGACCCCTCCTGAGCTACCAGAGGAAGCCTGTCCTGGCCACAGGCTTTCACGCACTGCTGGTGCTGGAAAAGGGCAGCACTCAGACAGTGTCCCTCCTAGCCCCTGGGAGACCCAAAGCAGCCCTGACCCAGTGCTTGGCGCGAGCGCCTCTGTGTGTGTGTGTGTGTGTGTGTGTGTGTGTGTGTGTGTGTGTAAGTAACTGGTAGGCCACTGGCACTGTGTCTCCCATAAGTTGATAGCGCAATTCACAAAAATTATGTGCCTAAGTTAACACTGGTACATGTTAGGCCCCATGCCAGACACAGAATGGGCACAAAGTTCTTCCTGGGAAATGTGTATTTTGTAAAGTGGGTACCTTATGGACAATATTCTGAAATTTCTGGATTTTGTTTCCCTGGACTTTGTCCCCAGAGTTGAAAGTTCAGAGTTGTAGCAGTGCTTCTCCACAACACCCCAGGAGTTACTGGCTTAGGAACCACTCAGCTAAGTAAACCACCAAGCCTGGCCTCTGTTGCTAAAATGTAGCAGCATGCAGCAGTTTCCTTACAAAGTTCAAAACCAGACTCAAAGGCCTTGAATGCTTGGAGAGCCTCCTGCCTCAGCCTCCTGAGTGTTGGGATTACAGATGTACACCACTGTGCGTGACAGTCCAGATTTGGATTTTAAAAGTAATTTCTTAGGTTCATTCTTTTTCCCTTCTGTTGATCCTCATTGTAGCTTTGTTTTCTGCTTCACTAATTTGTTTTTGTTTTCACCATTTTCTTTGGATTCCTTCGTCTCTTTATTTTTTGGTGGAACTGATACTCAAACCTTTCTGTTTAGTTGATCCCCTTAAAGTTTCTTCAGACCTCTTTAACTAGACAAAATGTAAAATAAATACTATATACTTCTAAATGATACAAGACCATAGAACACTTAACTCTAAAAATGCCAAAATGACATACGGTATTTTTGTTCTCTAGCCTAGAAGTTTTGATAATTTTATTATTAGGAAGTTACCATGATTTCTTTGTAACAGAATTAATAGTATGTGATTTTCAGTTAGAGATTTGTTTGTCTTGGGCTACTGGCTTTAACCTAATGAATCGCCATCATAGGCCAATAAAATCAGGAAACTGAGCAACTTAATCTCTATGGTCCTGTTCAAAAGTAGAAAATGGCCCAGAATATGTTGTGACTGCATGTTTCTGGGCATCAAAAAGATTCCTAAATATTTACCACAGGTAGAACAAAAACAAATACCAAAATAGGTTTGAAGCACAGCAGCAGACAGCAAAGAAGTCAGTAGCACGAGTGCTCACTGCCTCTTCCCCAGTGGGGTTCAGCAAAGGACACAGGCTCTGGCGGAGTGTTCCTCCGGGAGGCTCCCCATGGAGAGTAGCAGCCTCCCCCACCTCTGAAGATGTGTGGTCCGGCTTTAAAGCATGGTGTGGACTGCAGGAGTGTGGCCTGGGTTGGCCATGGTGAGTGGGTGTTATCTCCAGAGCACTAGAGGCTCCATGTGGCCAGCACAGACTGCGTCTTCAGCGTGTGGGGAGGTTGCCGTGTGACTGGGGACAGCCGTGTGGACAGCTTTGTGGTGCTTGTACTTCATGGTGAAGCTTAGGTCTGGGATCTTTTTTCTAGCTTTGGTAGTAAGCACAACTGGAATTTGGAATCCAGTGGGGGCTGCACCTGCAGGAGCTTGAGGCTCACTGAGGTGCACAGGCTAGGCTTGAACTCATAGGCCCCAGTAAGCTCTGGCCTTGGCCCCCTGAGTAAGAAAAATAAAGTTACCGTAACTCTAAATGATCTCCTCAGCTGTCCGTGCTGCTGCTGTTTTGGTGGTGAGCCTCCAGCATGTGACGCCATGTACTAAACAGGCTGTCGCCCTGGGACCCTGCAGTCTGCAGAGAGGGACACACGCACAGCAGCCACATGGCACCATGCTGGCTACCTGCCTACGGGAATGCTGCTGGGAAAGTCTGGCGAGGCTTCAGCTTGTAGGTGACTTTATGTGGAGGTGGCTGGGTTCTGAACCTGAAGGCAGAGTCGTCCATGCCTGCAGTACCCTAGACCCACTGCAGGAGGAGGCCTGCCGCCACAGACTGCCCACTCTGGGGGAGCCGGCTCCTCAGACTGGGCGGCTGAGGTGGCAGTTGACGCACCTAGCGCTCTTGGTGTGCACTTAAAGAAAGAGAGGTTTATTTTAGCTTCCAGTTTCCATGGGTTCCTACCATCCATGGTGAGCTGGGGTATGACAAGGACAGCTGCTCACTGTGAGGCCCCAGAAAGCAGGAATGGGGGGAGGAGAGGACGTGAACACCCCTTTTGAAGCACATTCCCAGTATGAGGCTTTTGAGCAGTCAGCTGAGGCTCTCACCCACAATGTTAGTTGAGTAACTGGCAGAGCCTCCTAATTTAAAGTCTCCATCTCCGGCCAAGCACCTGGTCCAGTGACAGGAGGGCCCTGTGAGTGGGAGTTGTGGCTGCTGTGAAAACTCCAGAAATGCAGGGAACTGCAGACCACAAGGGGCATGAGGGGAGGGTGCATCCATGGAAAAAGAGTGTTTGACAGCTGCACCTCTTTCCTCAAAGTCCTCCAAGACAGGTGTGTGGAGCAGTACATATGGGAGCTGTGGGAGACGAGGAAAGATTCAGCAGTACATAAATAAATAGAAACATGGGTACAATTTTGAGGAAAACTTATGCAAAATTGTATTACGTTACCAGTTCATAGATAAATGATTTTCTAAGAGCAGTTGGTTTGATGTGTGTGGGTTTAGCATTCCTGCTCCTGATGGTTCTAAAGTAACCAGGAAGAGTCGGGTGTACAGAAAGGAGGCTGCTTGCCTGGTGCCGTGGGACAGTGGGAATGCTGCCCCCCCTGAAAGTACAGCCTCTGGAATGCACACTGAATCAAGACTTGAGTCAGAGATGATAGGCTGGAGACACCGGCAGTCTTGTCAGAAAACAGATGTTTGATACATTAAAGGTGGCACCTTGGACATGACATAAAGTTTGTCATCTTTAAACACGGAAGAAAGTCATGCAATAAAATACCTAGATGTGTGACACTAGATGAAGGTGTTTGCGTCCTTTGCAGATATTAAGAGCTTCTGTGCTAATTTAGCCAGGAAAAATGTGCTGGTTGGTAGGCTGTGTTAATTTGCACTTAAAAAATCTAAGGAACTTCAAATTAAGTAATTCTGGGTAATAGAAAATCAGAAAGATCTTTTAGATTTGAGCAGATAATCCTTTAATTATAGCAAAGAGCTGAAGAGTTCCATAGAAGGTGACTGACTATAAATGTATTTTCTACATGACAGGAAAGTAACGGCAAGACTTGGGAGCTGAGCTGTCGTGGTATTTTTATCCAGTGTGTGGGGTGTTACACATGCATCACAGCTCTAACCGAGCCCTCACATGGAGCGGTTGGGAAGCAAGACCAAGGCATCTGAACGCTCCTGTGCCTGATTCTTAGTCAGAGGCTGTGTCATCTGGTGCGCACAACTCAAGCCAGGATCCAGATATCAGAAGGTGAATTATTTTTAAAAACCTAAGTTGTAATAAGTAATTTCTTTAAAATTGTTTCAGGAAATGGAAGATAAAGTGACCAGTCCGGAGAAAGCTGAAGAAGCAAAACTGAAAGCAAGGTATCCTCACCTTGGACAGAAGCCTGGAGGTTCTGATTTTCTAAGGAAACGATTGCAGAAAGGGGTAAGTTGCCGTCTGTGACCCAGTGTGCTAGTGCAGATGGTGAAGGGGGGTCTATTCTCGGCCTGCCGTGTGTGTGTGTGTGTGTGTGACATTTTCTCTTAATATTTTACACTGTTCATACCATAAACAAATATGGAAAGAATCCAGAACTCTATAATGTTTTGAGTTACAAATTATTTCAAGCATGTTCCATAGTGCAGATAATCCCAGAACCCATGTTCCTACCACCTAAGTTTAATGTGCTAATATTTTTACTTCAGTTTTATCTTTGTAATAAAACAAATGTAGATACACTGAACTTACCCTGTGTTTGACTTACATCTCCTTCCTCCTCCCCTCCAAAAATGCTGTTTACCGTTATTGAGAAGCTGGTATTTAGCTTGCTGCTCATAGTTTTAAACTTTTTCCTATAGTATAAATTACTGTAAACTTTACCCCCCAAAATCTTTCCTTTCGGTCAGGTAGAAACCGTTACTTCTCAGGATATGTAAATTTCATTGCGTGATGCTATATTTCTTTTCTAAGCGCTTCCTTTATTGTTATTAAAAAAAATGAGAGTGTTTCTTCATTAGTTTAAGCACATTTGAATTACCAGATTGGGATCAAACAGAGGTGAAATAATTATATGTGGGAGAAGGAGACACCAAATCATGTTTCTCCTTAACTAAATACCTAAATATGCAAGTATCTGTTGCTTGCATACAAAGAACATGAGGGAGGGGGTGCCAAAGCCATATTTAGATTGTTTTCCCAAATTAAGTTCCAGACAATATTTTAGCAAATGATATTTAAGAGTCGAAAGATAAAGTGGTATTTGATATTTTTGCACAAAATAAGAACATTCACAATTTTGAAATATTAAAGGAACACTCTAGATATCTAAAAAGTAAAACCTCTGTACCATGAAATATCCAGGGAAGAAATTATTACTGAAAGAAAGGAACTTTTAAATATATTGTGGTGGGGGGAACCTCTTAAAGGACACAGGAACTATAATCAGTAGACACAGAAGGGAAAAAGAGGAGAAGTACTTATTCTTGATAGGAATCAGTGAATTGGGGTGAGGGTTTAGCTCAGCAGCACAAGCACCTGACTGGCAAGTGCAGGATCGTAAGTTTGATCCCCCATACCAAAAAGAAAAGGAAATCAGTGAAATGTAAATTACGTCAAATCATAGTATACACAACTAATCGTGTCTCCTGGTGTGGTTGAAATCGAGTGAAGCTGATCTGCTCCTTACTTTGTATAAACATCCAGAATCATTAGTCTTATTTTGGGAAGTGATGCTGATCAAAATTTATTAAAATGTTGACATTCCTCGAATAATATTAGGAATTGCTATAAGGGTATAATTCAGTATATCTTTAGGTTTGAAGCTTTTCACTTGTAGCTTCAACTATAATTAGAAATTTCTTCAGTACTCAACAGCAGAGAAATGGTTAAATGAGTTATAATAAGCCCACAAAAATGGAATACCATATGGTTATTTAAAACCATGACTGTGAAGAGTGTGTATGGGGTAAGTGGAATGTCCATCTCTGTGGACAATGCACAGCCAGATCCAGCTGGATCCTTGTTGCTTTTTTCCAGCTCCAGCTACTTTGTGTCTTCACATCTGTGAACATTGTATCCTGGGGTGGTACTTTAGGTATAGACCATTGAAAATGAAGCAAAGACAGTTGATCAAGTAATTAAGTAGGATTGGAGAGGTAGCTCTTGAATGATGTGCTTCTGGATTGTGCCAGAATGTTACTGAGTACTTTTTTTATTTTTACTCATGTATCCTAAGAAATGAAGCTTTGGTGAGTGAGTGGGCAGGCGGGCCGGCAGGTGGTCAGTTTTTAAGTCTGGTCACAGGGCTCCAGGTTTTGGTTACCCTCTGCTACAGTAGTAAGCAGGCCTGGTAAGTTAACGTCTTTCAGTGGTATCTTTATCATGTCAGAATTTTTGGTTTGTGAAGTCCCATGCTTCGACTTTGTCTGTGGACCTCAATATGAGAAAATAGCTAGTTCACCTTAATTTAAAGGATTTTTTAAAAAACAAAGTAATATTTTCACTGCCTAAGGTTTGGTTTGGTTTTTTTTGTTTGTTTTGTTTTGTTTTGTTTTTTTGTTTTTTGTCTTTTTCATTTTTACTGGTACCAGGGATCGAACTCAAAACTGCCTGCTTGCAAGGCAGGCACCTTTTGTCTTTTTCCTTTTTGAACTCAAGACTGCCTGCTTGCAAGGCAGGTGCTTATGTCTCTGAGCTAAATCCCCAGCCCCCGGTTTGTTTTTGTTTTTAACAAGAAAGCATAGCTTCTTTCTTTGGCATCCTCATCCTGAAAGTCTTTGTTGATCTCTGTGAGGATTCACTGTCTTTTTTGTTTTTTTCTTTTGGTTTTTTTGAGACAGAATTTTTATTACGCAGTTCAGGCCGGCCTTGAACTTGCAGCATTCCTCCTTCCTCAGCTGCTCAGGCGCTGGGATTACAAGTGTGTGCCACCATACCCAGCTCACTGTCCTTTCTAGTGGAGTTCCTTCAAGCTAGCACTGTCAAACACTGATTTTAGTTTTGTCTCCAGCCACACTCAATAAATTTAATTTCTTTTTTCCAAGCAGAATAGCCTAATGTGCAGTGAAGTGAGATCCTCTTCTGATGAACTTACACTTAATATAAAATAGTTGTCTTTAGAACCCGAGTTCATTGCATTTGGGGAGCCTGCCTAACATTGCAGGATGCACTGAATTGCTCTTTGGACTTTGGTTGAGAAGTTCCCCAGACTGTTTTCTCCTCCAGAGGCTGCCATACTCAGAAGCTGCTCTTGAGTACCCAGTGCATCCTCATTCTGAGAGTCTTCCTGGGCTCATTTAAAAGTGCTGAGCAGAAATGAAGCTGGGGCAAGCCCAGACAGGCCTGCTCAGGGTTTCCTTGTGACTGTTTTTTAGGGTCCGCAGGGTGACTCATGGAAAATGCTTTCTAACTTTAGAGCCTTTGGCTGGAGACCAGCTGTGGCTTATCAGAAAATAGTCTCAAGGAGGAGCAGCCACCGGCGTGGCCCCTGCCTGGACCACCTGGCCATCTTCCCTGGGTTGCAAGTTCCTGGCCTCTGGGTTCCGAGTCTCCTGCCACCACCAGAGGCAGCCCTGAAGAGAGACAACCTTCCAGCTGCCATTCCTTCCTGTGCTGTTGCCTTCTGCCAAGCTGGCACTGGGGCGCAGTCCCCTCTACAGAGCACTCAACACTTTATGTTGTTTTCTTTTTTTAATTTTAACTCACTTTTTGTTGTATAATTGACATATATATATATTTAAGGCATACAACATCACATTTTGAGATAACATTGTAAAGTGAGTAGTACAATCAAGCCAATAAACATATCCATTACCTCACATACTTACAGTGGTTCTTATTCTGTTCCACTTAGAAACATCTTACAATAAAACAAATTCAAAAATCTACTAAAGAAAAACATGTTCATCATCTCAGTCCCGAAGACAAAGTAAAACAATTAAATGAGCATCATTCTAGACAATTTCTTACTATCTCTATTGATTAATACTTTTTTTAAATAAAAAATTGGTACTGCTTTGTGACCTGTTGTTTCACTTAACAGAGTAGTGGACATCTTTTTCATCTCAGTAAATCTGTATCAACACCATGATCTTTTAACTAAAATTAATAATTCTTTTCCACCCCCCACCACCCTCCTGTACTGCCCCTCTTTACTCCTTCCATTTGTCTAACACTGGTCTCCCTTCTACCTCATGGCATCTTTTATGGTTCCCACATTAGGGAAAACGTGCAGTGTTTGTCAGTGCACAGCCTGTTCCACATACCAGGAGGATCAGCATTCCTGCCCCTTTCTCTCCACTGCTGGGTGATGCTCCCTTGTATCTATACCACCTTTTCTTCAGCCATTCGTCTGTTGCTGGGCACCTAAGCTGGCTCCATATCTTGTGAATTGTGCTGCAGTGAATAGTTATACGGTTGGGCATAGGTAGGCTGACTTTAATTCCTTCTGGTATAAGCAGGGAGTGGTGTAATTGGACCAAGTGGTAGCTCTATTTTGAGTTTTCTCTTCCAGTTTTGTTAGTCTTATATTCTTAAGGTGGTATCATAATCATTCCTTTCTGTGCTCGTCGCCTTGCTCGTACACAGTGCTTCCAAGGAGCAGGTACTCAGGCAAGCTCATCTGGGAACTCATTAGATTAGCTATGTTAAGGTCAATCTTCAGTTCATATTTGAGCAACTTATTCCTCCCTCCAACTAAAAGGCATAATAGTTGTACTTAGTGTCTTTTGTGAAAAATGAAAGTAAATGGGACAGAGCTGTGCATTTTATGCAGATTAATTTGTAATGTGTTTGCTTGTTCCACTGCTCTAGCATTTATATTAATTTTTATTTGAGCCACCTTACTTTGAATAAGTGTGATTTAAATTCTTGCAGAAAAGTTCATCCAAGTTCATAGAGTATCAACAACTAAAATAATTGGGAGTGGGGGCTGGGGATTTAGCTCAGTGGCATAAGCACCTGCCTTGCAAGCGTGTGGTCGTGAGTTTGATCCCAGGTACTGATAAAAAAATTTTTAAAAATAAAAAAAATAATAATTGGGAGTGATTGGTGCATCCTTAATGCAAATTGATGAATTGCTTGCTTTAATTTTCAAAATAATTTCAACAAGACTGCACCCTGGTGGTTCTGTCAGTAGATTCACCTCCTACTGAGTGTACCACTTTTTATTCCAAGATAATTCTTGATGTCCATTTTGAGGGTCTTGGACTAGAACCTAAAATGTGTCTCTTCCTTGACTCCTCAGTTGTTGGCTTATGTTGGGAGTCAATGTAAAGACGTGCTGTCTTAGTGAGTGTACTCTTCAAATTCGTTTAATCCAACTCATGTGATACTGGCTGTTTAGAGTTTTGTCTACATAAAAACGTCTAATATATATGAAACCTTCGGACTAATCAAGTTTTTATGTTTGTTTTTATAGCAAAAATATTTTGATTCTGGGGATTACAACATGGCTAAGGCAAAGATGAAGAACAAACAGCTGCCCACTGCGACCCCAGATAAGACCGAGGTCACTGGTGACCACATTCCCACTCCACAGGACCTTCCTCAGCGGAAGCCTTCCCTTGTCACGAGCAAGCTGGCTGGCTGATTAAAGAGCTAAATTGCATGGATCTTTAATTCCCTTTATTCCTCCTTAATCTGTTACTTACCCACTTTTTTGCTTCCTTTCATTCACTGCATCATTCGAGACTGACAGCGTTGGAGATGGGGTAGTAGTAAGTGCTGTCGGTGTGAGGGCATAGACAGGCGTAGAGGTTCCGAGTAGTTTACCAGCACACTGACGAGAAGGGCACATTGAGCAAGACATGTCATCTACCTGAAAATTCCTGTGTGTGTCCCCTAACCCCTAGCGTAGGGCTCGTTCCAACAAGCGGCAAGCAAGTTCTACAGGTTTGTTTTAGCTCTCCTTCCTTCATCTTAGTGATAGCTCTGTGTGTTACTCCTCCTTAACATAACCTCTATTATATGGTTTCTTCTGTCATTTTGGGTTTTGTAAAACAGAAGTTTAAGACCACAAATTAGAGGACAGGTTATGTAATCAAAAACGAAGAATGGGAGCTCTGAAAGATTTGTGTGAACTTGAATGGCCTTATACCTGTTTCAGCTTTAACAATAGCATTTTACTTGGGCAATATTTGCCCTTCTGGTATAACTTCTGTGACTTCAGTGCTTCCCAGCTGCCATTGATGCCCGCATTCCTACTTAGTTCTGCAGCGTTAAAGCCCACTCCTTGTCAGCTGTAAGTGAAGTATGCATGCGCATCGACTGTTGAAGTCCCTTGTGCCATTTTTGTAAATATAACAGTTTTGCACAACCTTTCACAAATGTCTGCGTTAATTTCACATAGTAGAAAGTACATAATGTGTCAACCTGAAGCACAAAAGTTCCCACATGAAACTCTGTCATTACAGCTTTTGTGTAATAATAGCAGTTTGCAGGCTTGGGCTTCTGCAATACCAAACAGAAGTCTTGGCTCAGTCTGCTGTAGAATTAAGCTTCATGTGTTCCTCATATCCAAGACATTGAGTGGCCTTGTGCAGATTGATATGTGGCTTAGGCATATCTTTGTCCTATGCAGAACATTTCCTTTTGACTTTCATGAAAGTTGCAATTCATATGATTTATATAAATTTTTAAAATGTAGATACTTTTTACCTCCATACCACCTTTGGGGCCATAACATAAAAGGCTTTCATACTTTGCCTTATATCACCACCCCACCCTGACTTTTTCAACTCATGGTATTGGCTGTTTAGTGCATCTGAAAGCACTGGTGTCTGTATCCTTATTCTCTAAACTTGCTGTGCTGAACATTGTGTTTTGTAGCACAATTCTGGTCTTTTCCTTCCAATTTCTCAGTAGTTAATTGATCACTCAATCCTGTATTATTTACTGAGATTTGACAATTGTTTAAATAAATGGAACTTTATAATGAAACGAATATTTGAGAAGATTGGCCCAGGGATCTTTGTCAGGATAACTGAATGCCAGTAAATGATTTGAAGGACTTAATATGAGCTTAAAAGATTGTGACAACTAGAGCTATTCACATATGTAAAGCTTGTATTAAAAAGTATCTAGATGTTGGTGTCTGCAGATGCCACTTTAATAAATACCAATTTCATTTTACTTTTGGTTTATCTAATCAGTGAGAGCCTTAAGGCATTTCTGGGATACATTTAGTACACGTCTTAAAATTCATAAGGCTGTGGCACAATGGGGGTCGGTAGCCAGAGATGGTACCAAATTGCTCTTCCCTCTACTTACACAAGACCTCTCTTCCCCTCTTTTCAGTCCAGGCATCGTAGCTGAATTTGGCTCCTTTGTGTACCCACTTTCCAGTACTTGCAGATCATGCCAGCTAGCACCTGTGCTTGTGGCTGGCTATCCCTGCCCACCCCAGAAGCAGAACAACAAAATCAATTCTCTGCTCCTTTCTGATTCTTAAGGATCATTGACATAATGAGACATAATGAGAACAAGTAGGTAATTCCCCGATATGTACCCCTACACCATTGATTTAAGAACTTTAAAGTATCCCTAAGTTAGATGTATTGTATCTAGGTTTTTTTTTTTTATATCAGAGATTAAACTCATGACCTTGTGCTTGTCGCGCAGGCACTTTGTACCACTGAGCTAAATCCCTGGCCCTAGTCTTTGATTTTTACACAAACATTTACAAGCTATCACCATTAAATCCAAACATCAGGCAAGCTGGGCAGAGAGACCATGTTACTACTCCTGACTGTGAGAGACTCCTGGGGTTCATAGCAAGTGACAGCATCACTCGGGTTTTAGTTTGTAGAATACAGTGCTAATATTTAACCTACCTCAAAATTGTTGAGGATCTATGAGATATTAAGTAAGTGCTCATAAGTAAATTTCCTCATTATACCAATTTGCCTTCTGTAGTCATAGTGCTTCAAATCTCAGGCTTTGCCATTGGGAAAGCTCTGTCAGAAAAGAGTTGGAGGTGTCATCATTTAGCCTCAATTTTTGGTGCTTGGGATAGAGAGGTTTAAATTTTTCTATTTTTGTTCTGCCTCAAAACTCAATTTTTTGAAGACATTTTTTGCAAGCTCTTTGATCAGTGCTTGAAGATTTTGTTGGGCTTAATTTTCCAATTCTGTTATCTCAGAATTGTTGAGTTAATGTCCTGTTTACCATAAGTTAATATTAGAATAAACTGAAATTGAAATAAATACTTGATAAAAACTGGCCATCAAAGTCTGAAATAGCTGTCACATGTCCAGTGGCTCCAACTTTGGAGAGTGCTGTTTTGAGAAGCATTTCATCCTTGACCACTACACCTAGCTGAAACAACTGCAGTTCTTGGCAAATTGGAATAGGATTGTCTTAATGAATTCAAAGGAGCATGTTTGTGATCTACCAGTTGTTCAATAATCTTGTGCTGCTGACCTAAAAAATATGTCTTAACCATTGATTAAGGCAGGCCTATGAGGGCCTCTACTTGTTAGTATGTCTACAGTTGGGATTAGTTGCTCTTTTTTTACTTGATTTAACAAAAGTATACCTCTAAATATTTACTGATGCTTTTTACTGAATCAGACTTCTATTTGCTCCAAATACAATGGTGTTTTATCCAAGCCACAATGTAGCCTCTCCTCACATTGTACTCTGAATTCAGTGTCAGGAGCAGGTCACCCATGGCAAGAACATTTTGGGCGGTTACCAAAGCATGTCCCCAGCATTCAGACATTTCCTCTGCTTTTCATTCTCTGTCATGTTCTTCATTTCCCTCCTGGCATTTTCTTGAAGCCTACCATTGGCATTTACTACATGGTGTTTGGGACTGACGAATCACCCATCCCTGACACCCTTTTCAGTGAGTCACAGTTTAGGATATTGTAAATTCTCTGAAGCATCATCATGTTCCGGGTAACCACCAGCCAGATCCACTGTCCCTATTCTTAACTCAGCATGCACTGCCAGTCTTCCTGTGTCCCTTGTCCTCAGTTCCCTGTACCTCATAAAGTTGAATCACATGAATTTGTGATTGTTGTTCTATGGTTAAAAACACCCATTTGAATACCGGTTTACTAGGTTTAGCCTTTGAAGTAGGTAGGCCTCTAGGTTTTGTTCTACAAATTACTTGTGATCCTAGTAGCCATGAACGTGTTTGTATTTATGGATTACATAGATGCTGAGAGGAACATCCTACTCCTTTAGTATTATGTCCTTAAGTCTGTGACCACATCTCTAGCATTCATTATGCTGTGGGACACTTTGCCTGTATTCAAAGGGCCAAGAGTAGATGCTTTTTCTGTTAAATACGTGTAGAGTTGGCAGTTGATGCTGAAAATTGTCATTTAGCCCTTCTAAAATTATACTTGTAAAATACCCAAAAATAAATTGATCTGCCTAATTTCTATTAATTTCAGTTGCAGTTTCCTCTTATTTAAAACTGTTAAAACTGTTTTCATTGTTTTCTGAAGTACAGTCACCACTTTGTGCAAAAGGAATCCAACTGTTGTGTCAGACTTTAATTTCTTTTTTTTTTTTGTCTTTCCTTTTTATCGGTACCAGGGATCAAACTCACGACCGCCTGCTTGCAAAGCAGGCGCTTATGCCGCTGAGCTAAATCCCCAGCCCTCAGACTTTAATTTCTAAAATACATTAATGCAACCCTTTTGACCACCTGTTTTAGTTACAGAGGCTTTGAAATCAGGTGAGGTGTTTGCAGTGTGCGAGCCCTATTCATCCTACGTTCAAAACACCAGCGTGACAAACAATTGACAAAAAGATGATGAGATAAACAGCTCAATCCACTTTGAGAATTAAAACACGTGTATAAATGCAGCATAGGTGAGATTTCGTTCCCAGAACTGGAAAGCCCAGAAGCAAGTTCTCCCACTTAGAGTGTGAGTAGGCTGCGTGGGAGGAGGCAGAGAGCAGGGGGATTCTGAGGTGGCTTTGAAGGCTGAGTTGCTGCAGGGTAGGTGGAGAAGAGGAAGAAGAACATTTTAAGGAACAAGTGTTGGTTTTCGAAAGGCAAGGACTTGGGAAAATGGATCTGTGCAGGGAAGTTTGGTTGGAGAACATGGCATGTGAAAGAATTCTTGGTTTTTCTTCCTTCAGTGTGTGGGTTCCTGCAATTTTCACCTTGGCTGAGTGGTGCCACCATAGCTGGAGGCTTCCTGGTTCCTTTCAGAGGAGGTGATATCTCTGGCTTCCTCTCCACTGCTACCACCAGAGCAAAAGCTGTTGATATTTTTTCCTAATGTCACTTTCCACCTTCTTTCTTGTCCACCTCAATTTCCACTAGTCTCGCAGCAGCCATGCTAACATTTTCAAATGTAAATCACATCTCCCATGGCCCTGCTCAACTCAACATGTTTCTTACCCATTAGCCACAGGCTCTAAGAGCTCTGCTGGCAGTGCTGCAACACATGACACACCTCTGCATCACTCAGGGCTTTGGCCTGTGTGGCCAGCTGTGATCATTTAAAACAGTCCTATATGTTATTACCCTGCCAAGTTCATAAATACTAATCTGTTTACATGCAAACTGAACTATATTCTTCACGTTTTGTTGCTCAAAGGGCCATCCTGTAGGACCGGGAGTATCACCAATGATTGTAGTTTTTGCATATTCTCAGAACTCTTCTGAGCATGTCCAGCAAGATGACAAAGTCCCTCCTGCAGAGACCATTGTGCCTGAGCCTGTGGAGTGTGGCACCAAAGGAAGACTGTAAGTGTGGAAGTGGTCTCATGCTACTCATTTTAGTAGGGGAAAAACATAGGGGCAGAAATGTAGGAGGAATAGCAAGGGACTTGAAATAAATTTAAATTAAGGCCACAGCTCTTTTGGTAGACATATACGATTTTGACTGGGAAGAAGTTTTGGGTTTTGCGCTTTAAAACTTGAATGTGACCATTGGGATAGTCAGCTTCCATTGCTTTAACAGATACCTGAAATAATCTACACACAGAAAAGCTTTCTTTGGGCTCAGTTTGGGAGCTCTAAGCCCATGGTCTTCCAGCTTCATTGTTTTCAACCCTGTAAGGCAATGTGGCCACAGCTTTGGACAGAGTAGACCCCCCCGCACCTTAGGTCTAGGAGGCAGAAGAGCAAAGGGTGTGGTGCCTGTGAACTTCGCTCAGGCAGCCAATGATTGAAATCTCCCCTTGGCCACACAACTTACGCTTTCTGCCAGGCCCAGCTGAGGACCAAACCAAGGGATCCATCTGGACCTGAAGTGCAACTCCTGCAAACAGAATGGGATGAAAGGGAAACCCCAGACACTGAAGCAGCAGGAGGGCAAGAGGTGGGGTGAAGACCAGCCCTGGCACATCTCAAGAGTCACTGGCTGGTGGCCAGTCAAGTGAGTAAAGGGACCTATGCAGAACAGGGCCTGCAAAATGACCTCAGTCTCATCCTTAGGAGAGGTCATTTTTCCAGGAGAGCTTGCCAGGAAAAGGGTGGAGGTCTGAGAAGTGTATCTGTTGCCTTTTTGTTGCTAGGAGAAAATAGCACATACATGACTAAGGTTTAAGTAGGTGATGGCTTCAGAGAGTTCAGTCCAGGGTCAGCTGGCTCCAGGGCAGGAGCATCTTAATGAGAGGGCCTGTGGTCCAAGCACTTTGTAAAGCTCCACCTGACCTGAGTCTTTTGGGGACAATGTGATCCAAACTACAATAAGAACCATGCTAACATAGGTCTTTACTCAACGGTAACCCAGGTGAACACCATGGAGGACAATGACCCCTCCCATCACCTCTGTAGTGCCTTGCAGGAACCCAGTGGGAACCCAGGTAAACTGCACAGGAAGGCCCAAAGAATGGCCTTTCTCTGCTACTACCATGACTGAGGACCTGCTCCGAAAGGCCCAGAGAACAGAGGAAACACCAGTGACCACATGGTCTCAACAAAGGTGCACAGGATGGACAGAAAAGCCTAGTGGCATGAAAAATGTGAAGCAACAGTAACAATATGAGCCAACAGGAGACTGAGGCCCCCACAGGACTGGCACCCAACTTGGGAAGAACCCAAGACTTGGTAACTGGCCCTTTCCTCTCAATTTTTAACTTATTATCTCTTATTTGTTTGTTTACTTACTTATTTTTTGTCTCTCTGAGACAGGTCTCAGTGTGCAGTTCAGCTTGGC